AATTTTATTTGAGGTGAATTTGTGCCTTCAGTTCCCAGCAGACTGTTTTGAATTTTTATATTTTTATTCTTTGAGTTTCTTCACAAGGCTTAGACATTATGCAAATATGACAAAATCCAGTTAATAGATTTTCCTATGTTCATTTCAAGTGGATCACAATTTCATAAATAGTTATGTGAAATGAATACCTTTAAGCCAATCTGCTTCTCCAAACCCCCTTTTAGATTTGACTCCACCTTCAGTATATAAATTTACACAGTGTGTGTATGTGTGTATATAACCTACTTATGGTAGAGTATACACGCGGCTCAGCAGAAGAAAATACTGCAATCTTATCACACCCCTGTGTAATTCTCTCATTCAGCTCTAGTGTGCTCTTCATCTCTTCCCTTCTCTTGGTCCACCCTTCTTTCTCTCTCTTTTATTCCTCAACACTCATTCTTTTCAACCATGTCTGTGCCCACAGGACAATTTCTTTATCCTTCTCCTTTTTTTTCCTCCTTCTTCTTTTTCACTCTCTGTAATTTTTTAGCATCCATATATTTTTCCTTTCCTCTTCCAGTTTTTTTTTTTCTGTACTCATGGTCGTAGCGTTTGTGTTCTTGTGCATTTGCTGATGCGACACCATTCCATTTTCCTTTCTCTGTCTCATTCGATATTAAACAGAGATGGCGAAATGATTGATGGGCGGGCTGGATGAAAGAAAGTAGGGAGATGATGGAGAAATGCACAAATGCAAGAGCAAGCCGGGGGGGAGGAAAAATGGAACAAAGAAACGAAGGAGACTGTAGAAAATAAGCAGAGGTGTGGCAGTAAGTGGTGGAGGTTTAGGAGGGCAGATAGTGGGAGAAATATATCAGAGGAAGGCACTGGCTGCAAAGAAGTGAACATTAGAGATTCCACATAGAGTACTGAGGGACCAGGTTAATAAAAGCCATTAGAAGTGTGTCTTGATGTGTGTCAGATGCTTTCATCTGTGTGCTCTTTCCTTTACAAGTACATCATTCTTCAACCAAACATCATGCTCACTTTCACAACACAAACATATGCATGCATGGATTGAAAACAGTGATAATTTAAGGCAAGTAATATGTAAAACAAGAGAGAAAAAGATCTTATGAAATGGGTTTTGGAGAACATAGTGTTGTCATTGCTTTAACTCTCAGTTTTGAGCTTGAGTGTGTGTGGCTTTTTAAGAAGGGAGAAAAGATTCATTATTGAAGGTTTATAACAAGCTATGAGTCATCAGTTCTTCTGAGTTTTGCATGTGTCTATCTGCTAATGCATCAGCACATGTCTCAATAAATATTTCATACCTCAAAGTCTGAAATTCAAGCGTTTGTTCACCCCATTTGAGTAAAAGATGAAGCAATCAGAAATAAAGCAACAACAACAAAAATATTAAATATGCATTCATTTTTAAGGCCTCATCAGTGTCTGTTGAAATATTATTTTTTTAGCTTGGGCTTGGTTTATCCATTAGAAATGAATCTGGTCAAAATACCACCAGCAAATGCAACAATATTCTTCTTAAAATATGAATCCTTCTGCTTTTTTAGTCCCATGTTTTTTGCATTTGTATTCAGCCTTAGCCCTTTTAAACCAAATAGTATGAACTGCAATAAGTTAAACTCCTCTGCTGGATTTTAATATTAGAACATCTGTCCAACCAGGCTGCACATAATATTTGCTGTCTAACTTTTTCTGTTTTTTCTAATGCCAAACTATTAAAATATAACTGGCCTTGAAAATACAAAAAGTCTAAATCTGCAAAATAATCTTCATCTGACAGAAAACAAAAAAAAGACAAATATGTCATAGCTAAACAATATTTACAACGGCTGTTTTTCTCACTAATAATAAGGACATGATTGAGTAACTTAATATGTCATCTGAAATCATTTTGTCGCTATTCTCGTTAAACTTCAGAGTAATTATTTTTTAACATCAGTTTTTCTCCTCAACACCTACGAAAGGTGCCCTAAAATCAGCTCCTTACACTTTCAGGTAGAAACAAGTTAGAAACAAAGATTAGAAGATCAAAAGAAACAGACCTTTTTGTCACAAAACTATTTAAAAAGCCTTGACAGCACTTTAAATATCAACACTGAACTACATTATGAAGTGGAAACTAAAGATTTTAGCTCATTGTCTTCTTTGTCCTGAATAGAGAGTCCACAAACACACGGACATGCAAGACTGAAGGTATTAAAGTTAAAAAACATGAAAGAATGAATCAAAAAAGGTTTGAATGTGGTGTATAGCTGCTAGCACTTTTACCTAAGAGAAAAAAGGGGTGGACTCAAATCTTACCTTTGACCTTTAGGCACATAGTTTCCTCCCAAACATGCCACAGCTAAATCAGCCTTAGCATGTGAAAAATTTACCTTTGCATGTGAAAAATAAAAAAGTGAAATGTTTGACGAAATGCTTACCCTTTCTCTTAACTATATTAAATCAACCAGCTTAGTTTCTTTGACTCTTTATATTTCACACACTTATATGATCAAATGTGCTGCTGGGTCACAGCTATTCCTCACATGGTTCATGCACAACTTATATATTTGTCCTTTTGTCCTCTCGTTACTAAATCAGTTTCTCTCCTTTTCTATTGTCCTTTACTCCATTGTTCCTCTCCTTTTCAGTCCGATACACCCTACCCCATGCCATGTCTTCGAGTTCATGGACATAAAGAGACTTTTATAAAAGCAGATAGCGGAAATAATGTTGGGAGGGGGGACTCAGACTTGCAGTTGCATACACATTTTTGGTTCAGGCTTATGATTGAATAAATCGGAAATCGACAAGGTGATAATGTGGACCAGCACATAGGTCGGCTCTTTTTCTTGTTGACAGCTGTTTTACGCATCCAGATGTTGAATGTGCTTCTCTGTAGATTGCTTCCTCTTGCTTTCTACTCCTTAACATTCAGTCGCCAACTCTTGTTACTGAGGGAATAGCTTCTGCTAATGGAAGCAAGAAAAAATGGGGGGAAAGATGAAGAGGGGGAGAAAAGGAAGGGAGCATAAATGGGAGCCGTGATAATTAGGTTGGCTTAAAAATGTTAGATTTTTCTGTAAATGAAACTTTGTATTATTACACCTGTATTTTCTCTTCTGTTCTCTTTTAATCGATCCCTTATTTGGGATTGATTAAATCCATGCAAATAAATGCTGCTGTGGGGAAGACCCCCCTCTGCACGTGATGTACAAAAATGTTCAAAATCTGGGGGACAAAATATTTTTGAAAGTATCTGAAATCAAAATAGAATGATTCAGTTTATATTGCATAATGACATTCCCATTGCCTTCTCAACATAAAGTTAACCTTATTATTAGAAGTGCTCTTGTTTTGTTGTCACAAAGAGAGTAAAGGTTTCAGTGATTTCAAAGTTGTTTTAATTATCTACTTTAGGAGTAGAATGACCCCACTGAGGTTTAACCGGTCTAAATATATAAAACATGATCAAATATCTTCCTAATTCCTTGAAAACACATTGAAACAGTTCTTTAATTTAGCACCAAATGCAAAATTAAAACATCGCCATCATTAGCTAGACACAGCGTAGTGCCATATTTTATGATAGTACTTGAGTACAAAATGCAGCTAAGCAATAAAAACCTTAATTAGAAAGGTGCACTGACTTAAATCAGCGCTGTTTGTTTGACAGAAACAATATACGATAAAGACATTAAGATATGGACAATCTTTTAGATGCTGTAAGCCTGTACATGGTGCTGAATGGAATAAGCCTCTCTTGTCCAGGCTCTCTACCACTTTGGTATAGCCTATGTCTGTGTTTGTTTTGTTTGTCTGCGTGGGAGACGTGTTACCAGAAAATACACTTAGCAAAGCATATTTAACTGACTCATAACGATGAGCTTGTGGGTGTATGCATGTCCTTTTGTGTGTGCAAACAGGCAGCAGTGGCAAAAAAGAGAGGCGAGACAGAGGTCCATTCGAGCTTTGGACCTGCTGTCTCTTTGACTCACTTGCTGTCAGGGGAATCAGATAGTTCTTTCTTTTAAGCGTTGGAAGTGAGAGTAGGGAATGAATCTTAATTGTTACTTAATGTACATATGTCTACGCATCATTGCAGAAGCGTACTTTTTAGAAATCAACAACGTAATTGTGCTCTTATTTTCAATGCTCAAAGAGTCTCATATCTAGGCATAGGCTTGTGTGAGTGTCACGACTTCAAAATGTGTAGACAAGAAATAATCACTGCTTTTTATTTAAATTAAAAATCTAAAACTGCAAAAATAATGCAGCATATTAACTGTTACCACCATAGTAAAGTTATCTAAATCACTAATCAGCAGCTACTTTTTAAAGAAGCAATTTTATTTATTATTAAGATTACAACAAATGTATTTTAGCCTGTAAGTCACTCAGACTTTCTGCTGAGATAGTTGACTGCTTAACAGACATGCTGCTCACATACATATGTACAATACATATATGCAACCTCTTGCTCATAATAGAGGTTGCCTATATTCCCTAAATTATTTTGATGTGAAACAATTTTGGCTAAAAAGTGGGACCCTTGTAGATGTCTGACGTGTCGGATATTATATTTGAGACCCAGCATGTCAATAGAAGGTCTAGAAATGGTATAACTAAAAAAAAAAAACAACTTTAATTAAAATATTGGTATACATGAAACCAAGAAACCAATGTAGTTGCTACAATATATTTTCTAAAGAGAGATAATTTCTTTTTCTACTTCTGTGTGAATGTAACCCATTTGCATATTGTAAGCAACATATGTTGTGTTTGTTGTTTTTCCTGGATTTCTGTCTTACTTGGAGGAACTGAGAGAAGACGATTTTTGCCAATTATGTGCCAACTTTATCAGTCACTTTGTGCAATGCAATGCATACTGTGTTATGGATAAAGTACTGTTTTGAATAGGTGGAATTATGCCATGATTATGTATGAAAACATTTTACACTGAAAAACGTATCCAATTATTCCTTAACTGATTCTCCTTACTCCATTTGAGTGGATGATTCTAGCTACCATCATTGCCAACTGCATTGTCCTAGCTCTTGAACAACATTTGCCTGATGGGGACAAGACACCATTGTCTGAACGGCTGGTGAGTCAAACTTAGATTAAAATGTGTCCAAAGTTAATAATTTTATTGTTTTGTTCTACATTTTATCGTTCTACTAAATTGTAGCTCAGAAATTAGCTGAATATTTTTGAAAATGCATACTCAGAAAGCAAGCTCTTGTCTTCTGCGACAAAGCTTCTCATCATCATATTTATTCTCTTGCTGTCATTTTGTCTTCTTCCACAGGATGATACAGAGCCGTACTTTATAGGAATCTTCTGCTTTGAGTCCGGAATAAAGATCCTGGCGCTTGGTTTTGCCTTCCACAAGAACTCCTACCTGAGAAATGGATGGAATGTCATGGACTTTGTGGTGGTGCTAACAGGGTTGGTAACTTTAGACAAATTACATGCATGCACACTAACGTGCGTTCTTTAAATGCTGAGTCACTTCATAGAAAAACACAAAATTCAGAATCGTCTTTTCTTTCAGTGTCATTTTGGTCCACGTTTTGTTAGTTTTAATGTCCCAGGACTCACTACACACACACACACACACACACACTCACGCACACACACACGCACACACGTGTTTGAGTGTCCTTTACCAGCTCGTCTGCTTTAATGAATGGGCCCCATTCTGCGCAAGGTAGAAGTCAGATCACAGAGCTGAGCCGCAGGCAGCCAGTCGCCTGGGTGGTGAACAAATGTCACCTCAGCATATACTGAGACAAGAACGGGTTGGGGGACAGATGGAGCAGACCCTGGTGAGGAGGAAAGATGGGAGGTTTAAGAAAAATGGACACATGTTGGTAGTCAAGTAGAAACATAGGAAACAGTTGGATGAAGAAAGAAACAGAAAAATAAGTGTGTGAAGGACAAAATAAAAGCAAAGTTGAATAATGTAAGTTGTCATAAACTCTGAGTACATCTAGATACAGTAAGACGCAATAATTTTGAAATTATGGTGCAAAACAGGGAGTGACTTTTTTCCCGGAGTGAATTGTTAAAACAGTATAAAACATATATGTTTCACAACAAAAATTAGTTGCACAAGTTTTATTTTCTTTCATCAACAGTGGGCCAAAGTTGTTCACAAATTTTTCTATTTGTGAAAAATAGTAGACATCTGTAGATTTCTAACAGACATCTATAGATCTATAGATGTCTGTTACAAATCTATAGACAAAACCACATACTTATGCTGCCCTCACCAAACTTCTGGCATTCTGGCATAACTGAGGCTAATTGTTTGACTGCTCTTCTTGGCAGAATTAACAGTTCATTATATATTTTCCATTGTGGACCTAACTTTTAGGTATGACGCACAAATTTTCAAGCTTATGTTGAAGGCTATAAAAAGCAAAAAGCAGAGGTGACATTGATAGTTGGGATATGCGTACACTTAACGTCTATGAATAATTTACATGGTATATAAACTAGAGGAAAAAAAAGACAGCTATTCCAAACTTTTGCACTTCGAGAAACATTGAAGTCACCAGTTACATTTTCAGTCTGCCCAGGGAAGAGGAACATCTTAATTGCACTGCTAAAAAAAAAATAAAATTTCAACATATTTGTGCATATGAGGTTTGATATAAACTTCTGTTCTGAACAATATATAACAATTGTGCCATTTTTTTGCAGACAAAGTGTCAGGAGAAACAGTGATTGCCATCTGTTGCTCACCTGTTTTCTCTCTCACACTTTGTCACAACCACACAAATACTGTGCAGGCACAAATGTTCTTCCCCGTCTGGCAGTGTGGTTGTAAGCTTTAACAAGAGCAACCATGACACCAAGCTCCTCTCAGTGTGGCACAACAGAGTCACTGTGAGAGAGGTGAGAAGACAAGTGTCAGCAAGACAGCAATATGCACAGAGGAAGACAAGGGGGGGGATGTAGTGAGCAGAAAGAGGAGAATTTCTATTAATTTAAAGTTAACATGAAAAATTACACCACAGGATTAATTAGAAGACATAATTGGAATTTGAAGTTATTTCATTTCTTCATCATGTTTAATAGTTCTCAAGTCAGTGAGATATCATTTTAGATTTTACATTACATTGATCCTGGAGTGATCTTTAAGCTCTCTAAACAGATAAAATAAAGCTGTGCTTGTTATGATTACTGGATGGGCAGAAAATAACAAAAACTAATAAAGTATAGTCCAAGCATTACAATAGTGACGAGCAATGAAAATGATAAATGGCACTTCAGGTAGTATTTATTTGTTAGGTCAGGTGTGAAAAAGCAAAAGTGACAAAATAATTAAAGGACTAAAAATGAAGTGAAAAAGAGCCGTCATTTTTGAAGGGATAGTTAATTACAAAGAAAATAGGCATAGTGGGGACATTCAAAATGGAAATTAAAATATGCTCTATGAGTATGTACAGCAATACTAGCATAATTATGTAAATGTATATATTTGTATCAGTATAGGTTAGGATAGTTATATTTATTGTTCTAGTAATTATTAGCACAATTGAATGACAGCAAACTCTGTCTATGTCTAGAATGTATCACCAATTTAAAGAGCAAAAAGGGATTTGGTGTGCGGTGGACTCAGAGCGTCCTCCTCTCTGCACTTATGTCACTTCCTTTTTTATGACAAAAGTGAATGATGTTTAAAGATTTACACACAATGCTGAAGCCATTGTGGGGATGTTTCTGTGAAACATTACATATTGTCCACTCTCTAACACATACACACACACTCTTTGTTGTGCTTTCTTTGGATGGCGGTCCACAGCTCTTTGAAGATGAAAGACTACTTGGCCTTTCTTTCTACCTTTGGTTGGAAACCTTTGATAACATACTGACCAGTGTCCATGCACACACACATGCACACACACACACTTGGAACCAAGTGTGTGCACATATTTCCATTTCAAACATTACTTTTCATTTTGTACTCACTATATTAGGTCTTTGAATTGCTCTTTTTAAAACATTCAAACTCAAAAACATCACTTATGCTGGAATACGATGACTAGAAAAGTCATTGTAGTCTTTTGGCATGCCATTTAATTTGTGTTTTGTGTTATTGATCGATCTGTTGTAAATTTGCAGAATGGTCTGAGTCTGGGAATAGGCTTGTTGTTTCTAATTTCTAATATTGATTATTAGTCCAATTACTCTTGGTTTATAGCCATTCTTACTATAAATAACTCCCTCTGCTGTACCTCTGCCTTGAGTGGTTCCTATATAGTTTCTCTTTTTCTTGGCAAACATCTAAATCCATGTTTTATGTTGATCTAATGGTGAAGAAATAAAATGTATTTCATCAAACGTGAAATCCTGTCACACCTCGAAGGTATAGATTTTACCATGCTCCTTCATTTTGTACAAAATGTTTTTGTTGGGATAAATGGTACAAGATTTAAAAAGAAACACAGAAATAAATAACAAATATTTTGGGAATGTATTACTTTTGAACCCATGCATCTTAAAAATGGGATTTGGGGGACGAGAGGTTGAGTAACAGAGATGTATTTTCCAGGTGCATAGTGCCATTTAATAGCACAATCAGGCAACTATGCTACCTAACACTGATATGAAAGTACTGTCAATACAGACTGTTTAGGATTCTAACAGACTTGGGAGATACAAGGAAAAGAGATCAATCCCATGGCTAATATTTAAAGATAAAAGTATAATTTTCTTTACTACAGTAAAGATAGTCATAATTTGACATGTTTTGACTATGTGTTCAACTAAAAATCTGAAAATTACTTCTTTTTTTTGTTTGTTTTTTGCTTCATGGCAATTGTGTCACCCATTGCACCTATGTGTTGCCCTTAAGGAGTAGCTATCCCAGTTTAAAATGTGTCTGCAGGTTAATGTGAAAAATTGCTGTAATTCCCCGTAGCATTAGCATTCGAATAATTAAATACTGTGCAGGCTATTCTACAGGCATTTGCTGCTGTCAGCTCACTGTAGTTTGAATGTTCAAGTATTCTTTCTTTTACTCTGTTTTTATTTTTTGAAAGGGATTTCATTAAAATATTCTAATTTCTTTGCATAACAATTGCCTAAAAGAACATTTACTCTCACACTAAATCCAAAATACTTTAGAATATCATATAAATAGCACAGGAAAAGATATTTTGATAATTTAGAGAAAAGAAGGAATAATATTGCTTTTACTGAAAGTGAACATAAACGATTTGTTGCATTAAGTTGAGCTCAGCTAAAGGATACATGAATATATCAGACAATATTATTGTAGGAATTATGTATATAAATTCCCAATTTTCATTACTAAAGTGCAGATATAGACTTTGTATTTATTTGTGTTTTGTTCTTTTAAGTTCCACATTAGACAGACTCTCTGTCTCTCAGGAGCAAAAAATTGTTTTTCAAAAGTTTCTCCAAACGGCCCCATTTCCTGCCTTTGTACTTATTTTCACCCAGTATGTTTTGCCTCATGCCCACTTGCCTTGTGAATCTGTGTGCACATGTTCATATGTTTGTGTCTATCTGTGTCATTTCACAAATGCGCATATTTAAACACAGAAGACGATGGGGGGAAAGAGAAAGAGAAATGAATCTGTCTCCTCCCTTGGCCCTGTTTCCAAGGTGATACAAAGATTCTATCAATGAACCGATGTACCTGTTGCCATGGAAACACTTATGAATGAGATGGGGTCCTGTAACCATGGAGACGGTGTGAATTAGGAGCTGCTTCGTCGGCGTGACACCGTCAGTGACAATGATGCTGTCTGGAAGCTGAATTTACATCAGTGCTGTTTTCATCGTGTCTTCCAGCTATAATCACATGTATTGTTTTCGTTTAAGAGTGTTTTTATAAAACATACTAGATGTGCTTGTAGTCATATACTTTATTGTTTTTTTTTCTTCTTCAAAATGTGATCCTCTGTAATGGAAACACAATAGCTTTTCCTCGATTCTCCTCTGAGCTTCTTTCAGTGTTCAGTATTTTTCTCATTCGGCTCGGTTTCTTCAGTTGAATTTCAACCGTCCCAATCAGCAAACTGAAGGAGGAGTTGTGAATGACTGACATTGATTTTTCACACTGTTTCAGAATTGTAGTCTGCCTTTATAGGGCCGTAGTCTGGCAATGGGAGCGGAGCAAGTGAAGGGAGCCATTCAGTCCGCGTTAGCAACGCTTGAGCAATTGAAGTCTGAGCAAGATATTTTATTGCTGCCAAAGATGCTGTGGCTTTATTCCCGGCTGGGTTGTTTACAGTGCACACAATTTCTGATAAGCTTCAAGCTGGCGTGTTACATACATCACAACCAAACGTTAGCAGTACAATCTCCAATTATTTAAAATTTCAACAGAGTATACACTTCCAGCAAGCAATCGTTTGTCCAGACCCTGTGTAAGAAAAGGCACAGAAAAAAGGTCTGCTTTATTCCTCATTAAAAAGGGTCTAGCATGTTGTCTGCTATCAGTGAACCTTATGTTTGTACTTTTTGCATTTCTTTCTCCCAGTGCAATGCTGACAAAGAACCCTTCTTTTTTTTAGCTACATTAAATTTATTTCCCATTTTATTGTTGTTATTGATTGCATGTAAAAGTATTTTAATAGCTAGTTATGCTAACCTTGGCTGGAACAATTTTCATCAAAGGTGACACATTGGCTGGATGCTCAGCTGTTACATTGCTATGAAGAACTGTCAAATAATTCTCGTTTGCAGAATTGCTTTCAATGCAGCCACACTGAAGGGTTAAAAACCATTAAACCTGCAATATATAACTTTAAAAATCAAGTTCCTCTGCCTCGTGCTATCCTTTTTAGCCAATCAGATCCAGGAGTAGGGTCTTAGTGCTGTCAGTCACACCCTCCCCCTTACTTTCTGCTGTGTTAGAGCTCATTCCCCACACGAGAGCCTGCTGGGAACCCTCAGGCTAGTGAGTGTGGTCACCGATAATGATGGATAAACAGTCTTTCTTCAACCATAAACTATTAGCACATTGGAGAGCACATGGTTGACAACACTAAGGGCCTTCCTACTTGTCAACAACACTGTATCTAAAGTAAATAGTAAATTTTGACTGCGCAGCTAAGCTGGAATATTTCTTCAGCATCATGTCAATGAAGTCTTATGCCATTTGTTGTTTAATACTCCCTTCATATTAACCTGCATCTTCCTTCCCTTTTAATTATATGAAACTAATTAAGGGATTATGTAAATAACTTTCCACTGCTGACTTTTTTCCATATGTAATGAAAGGAGACTCTCTGTTTTGCTCTAAAATAACTACTCTTGATTTAATTCAGGTGATCCATTCTGTCTTGACCCAAGGAAGCTTGACCCATCCGAAAACAATATGGCTGCATTCCATGAAGGTCATCTTTGTTTTTGTTTTGTTTTTCCAGAAATCAGTGAACCAATTGGCTGCACAGAGTGTCTGTCAGTTGGCTATTTCAGATCTGTTGCTACCTCCTTGCCATGCAGATTCATTGTAAACAAGGCTGTTGTTTCAATGATAATTAAAGAATCAACTTGCCGTTCTTTTATTACCATTTTTGGTTTAAAAAAATATGTATATATAGACAGTATATGTACACCTGGTGATATTTTTTTTAATCAAACCATTCTTGGATTTCTATGGGTGCAGACCATTATACCAGTGCTATTCCATATTTAAGACCACAACAGGGATTTTTGTTCACCGACTGACTCTTGCTTTTCTTTTGAAAGAAAGTTGCTTTTTTTTTTTCTTTCAAATTGCGATGTATTCTAATCGGAGCATAGTGAGCAGAGTTCAGTCATGATTAACTTTCTGCTGTGTCACTTCACATCTTTTTGGAACTGAGGACAGAAGAAATGTGTTACAGCAATAGGATGAATGAAATAGAGAGAGAGAGAAAAAGAGAGAGAGAGAAGTGGGAAGTAGGGATGATTCACAGAATGCGTCAGACAGAAGGACTGACTGGAAGTCTGTCAGCACCCAGGAACATCTTAACCTTCTGAAGCTGTTAACTTTGATGATTGGTGTTGATAAAGGTGCTATAGCACACACTACAATGTGCTTACTGTGTAGCATGACTGAGAAAAGCTAAATGTATCTCAAACAGACAAAATACGAAAAATAGTCATTCATACTATCTGGTAGTACTTTCCTTTGTGTCTGTTTCCAGCCTTCTTTTTTCATCTTACTAAAACCTCCACCTTCTCTGCATCTCTTTATCTTTCCTTTTCTTTATTAGTCCCTCTAAAATCTGGATACATAGCAGTATCTCTTCAGCGGGCCCTACCCTCATCCTGATACACTCCTCTGTCTTACTTTACTTGTCAGCTCTATTGATTGGTTTGGCTCCTACAGGATTTACATACAGTGCTCATCCAGTTGTTTGTAATGGCCTTGCAGGGGTTGTGTGTGAATGAAAGGGAATGTGAGAAACACAGAGTTTGACTGACAGTGACAAGCCTGATTGGCTCGAATATCGATTTGCCATGAACACATTTGAGCATCTATCTTTTTGCTTACAGGATTCTGTCCACTGTGGGCTCAGATTTCGACTTGCGGACCCTTCGGGCTGTGAGGGTATTAAGGCCTCTCAAGCTGGTGTCCGGTATACCTAGTAAGTCAATATCTATTATTCAAACGATACAAACTTTTTAAAATCTCCAACTTTATCTTGAAATTAATTCTTTTATGGATTTTGAAGACTATAAGCCATTCTTTCTTTTTTTTTTAATTGTTGTTGTTTTAGTTGGTTTTGAGGACTAGCAGGCCTTAAATTCAATGTTTCATGCTGATTCTGTTTATTTTTTTTTTTTATTTATTTTTTTTTTTTGCACAATTCACCAATAAAAGTTGGTCTTTTGTGCACAATGTGCTTATTGAAATAGAGAGACCAATAATCTAGCAATTATATTTCTGGACTGTGGGAGGAAGCCAGAAAACCTACACAGAGATCACCTTGCTGCAAGGCACCTGCAAGGCTTCGTGCAAAAGCAAGAAATAATAATTTTTCGACTTAGAGGTACAATAAAAAGAAGAAGCAGATACTTTCAGTTCTCTGAAAATCCAGATATATTCATTGATTTTTCTCAGTCACAGTTCTACAACCTTTTGTTTTATTCTCTTATGGACTGATTCTTATATCAGATACATAGATTTATGAAAGTGAAGCATCATTATACACGCTGAATGCAGCTAACCAAAATGTTAGTTTTAGGAGAATGATAATGAGGAATTTGGTTCCTTTGTGTTGCTCTTCATGGAAGAGATTTTTATTGTGTCATCCATGGTGAAAGCCATTGATTAGATCAGATTTTGAGCCTGTGGATCAGATCAAAAGTGATATATTTAAACCTAATAGTAATTTTGAGGTAGGAAATAAAAATCATGTCATGTTTCTGCTGTGTTCTTCAGGCTTACAGGTGGTGCTCAAATCCATCATGAAGGCCATGATCCCCCTCCTACAAATTGGCCTGCTGCTTTTCTTTGCCATCCTTATGTTTGCTATCATTGGTCTGGAGTTCTACATAGGCAAATTCCACAAAACCTGCTTTGACAACCACACAGGTGAAAATGTTCTTGTGATGAATAAATATCATTATTCAGGTCTATAAGAAATAAAAGTAATGCCATTGTATGTATTACATAATGACTTGTGACTATTTTTGTTCTTTTATGAACTCTCACTTCCACCCAAAAACAGGTGAGATCCGGGAAGAGTTCCCATGTGGAGAAGAACCTCCGTCCCGGGAGTGTCCAAATGGCACCGTTTGTAAAGGGGGCTGGTTGGGACCAAACTTTGGCATTACCCAGTTTGACAACATCCTATTTGCTATTCTCACCGTCTTCCAGTGCATCACCATGGAGGGCTGGACAGACCTGCTCTACTATGTGCGTACAACCAAGCAGAATGTTTTTATTTTTTGTTATTTGCTTTTTTTTTATTATTGTGTTGCCATATGGCTTTATATTGTACAGTTCTTTTGCACAAATTACTGCATCAATGCGGTGTGGTGTGGAGACAGTCATCCTGGGTAATTGCTGAGGTGTATTGAAAGCCATGGTCACTTTTATAATAGCCTTCTGGTCATCAGTATTGTTCAGTACGGTGGCTCGCCTTTTCCTTTTGACAGCACCCAATAAATCCCTGCAATGTGGGCAGGTGCCAAGAACTGCTGGGAAAGAAAATCAGCATCTCCACACAGCCTGTCAGCAGAAGCACGAAGTGCTCTAAAATTTTCTGATAGATGGCTGTGTTGACTGTAGACTTCAGTGAACACAATGAAGCAACACCAGAGGATGACATAGCAACCTCTAACCTCACTGTCAAATGTTCATGCTGGACTTGAAGCAATGAAGGAATATGAGCTGCTTTAATTTTACAACAGACTCTGAGACCATGATCTCCAAATGAAATGCAAAATTTCACTGGAGAAGAGAGGGCTTTGGAGCATTGAGAAAGAGTCCAGTTCTTTTTCTCCTTAGTCCAGCTAAGTCACTTCTGCAACTTGTCACCGGTTCAGGTGTTTCTTGAGACCAAAATTGTGACGTCTGTAGCCCACGTAAAGGATTTGTGTCATGCGATATGGAAACTTTAAAAAAAAAACAAAAAAACAATAGAATCAAGACAGAACAGAAACCATAAACCCAGAGAAACAACCAGCAAGGAAAACACCGAGAGATTCCCTGTTTCTACTGCATACACTTTTTTTTCTTCCACTGACCTGTCTATGAATATTCTTGGATATGACACTGTGAACAACTGGCCTCTTTAGCAATGGCCTTTTGAGGCCTATCCTCCTTGTGGAGGGTGTCTGTGACTGTTTCTGGACATCTGCCAAGTCAGCAGTCTTCCCCTATGATTGTGTTTCCCAGAGAAACCAGACAGCATAGTTTTTTCACAATATCATTATTTTCTGAATATTTTTAACATACTCAGTTTTTTTTTTAGCTGACTTGTTTATAATTTGCTGAGCGTTTCCTCTTTCCTCAACTTTCTATAAAATTTCCTTTCATGAGGTTGAAATTGTTTGGGTCAGATTGCTGAAATTTTGACACAAATAGGTGTTCTAACAGAAAATTTATATCAAATAAACATCCTCATTAGACTTGGAACAAATAAAGGATGTTAACATCAGTCTGCTCTTCATAAAACCCTGTCATCACCCCTGTTCAAAAATAATGGACAACGCTTAAAGTTGAGTCTGTAGTAGAAAACCAGGATATTTAAATGAATTCTGTCAAAATAATGTCAAATATCTAGATCAAATTTTGCTCTAAACTTCTTTTTGTGTGAAAGCGACAACTCTGTCTTTCCCTAATTGCTATTTGTGTTTGTTATCTTTGTTTGTTCTAATCTTTCTCCCCTCCATCCCTCTGCTGCTCTCCCCTGTCTGTTGCACTCTCTTGTCGTGCCTCTCCTTCCCGATGCTGCTCCATATTTAAAAGAGCCTGTTCAGTCCAAGTTATTCTTGCAACTGCTGAGGAAGAGGAGGAATAAAACTTTAATGGCAGAAAAAAATGGTCTGCAGTACTCTGAGTACACAGCAGTAGCAGCGGCTTGCATGCAGGTGGTAGGATTGAGGGGCGAGATGAGTGACTCGAGACAAGGAGACAATACAGTCCAAGGAAGAAAAAGTAAAAGACGTCACTTTTGGAAAGGCCAATCAGTAATAATGAGGAAATGGGAATGGATAAAGAATGAGAAGTGTGCAAACATAGAATCCCCTAAATTTTGACTGCTTAATATGGTTTAAAACTTTATGGACACAAGAAACAAAGGCTCTAATGAAAATAAGGGAAACAGTTCCCTAAACAGGAACATTTCAGAATAAGAGATGGAACAAGAAAAGCATTTCTTTATATGCATTATTTACTTTGACAGTGCAGCTAAATAGAGTGGCAGAAATGCATTTACTTATTAAGATGACTTGAAGCACATTCATGTCATTCCTATTTTGCTGGTGTTTCTGCTTCTACAGTATATAGAGTGTTACATTTGGAAGCCTACTCTTAGCAGGCTGGTTTTCAGGTAGTAATAGTGTTATGGTCTGGCTCTAATACCATAACAAATTAAAGGAAGCAACGCATGGGATAACTTAAAATAGGATTTATTTAACAAAAATTATAGCTGGTCGGAGAGGAAAGGGAAAAAAAAAGAGAAGTGGACAGACAGAAAGAAAAGGGCTGTGCTGATGAGAAAAAGGTGGTGCATTTTATGCTGATCTGATGTCATTCATGGAGACACTGGCCAGCTGCCTCCACTTCCAATCAGCACCAATGAGGATATCTGGAGCAAAGGTGCTAAACCCCAAAGGAATAGCCTTGGGCCGTAACACCCCCCTCTTCAAAACAGGGTCCCCACCGGAACCCTGGGCAACCTATGTATCAACATCTGAAAAAAAATAGAAAAACAAGTTTAAATACACTCACGATATCTCAGACAAGCTGAGATGAAACAGAAAACAAAATCCAGATCCTTTTATATCCCATGTCCAAGTCGACAACTGGTACCATGAAGTGACTCAGACAGGTAAAAGGGGAAAAAAAAAGTTACTGACTTTGCGCTCTTGACAAAGCATCTGCAATGACATTATCCTTTCCCTTGATATGACGAATATCTAAAAGAAAATGACTGCAGAAACAACGACCATCTCACAAGTCTCTGATTTGGGCATCGAAAAGAGTTCAAAAAGGTCAGAGGATTGTGATCTGTAAAGACAGTTAAAGGACCTGAGCCCACATAAACCTCAAAATGTTGTAATGACCAAATAAGAGCAAGGGTCTCTTTTTCTATGACTGAATAATTCAGTTGATGTCTATTAAACTTCCTAGAGAAGAAAAGCAAAGGTGCTAAACCCCAAAGGAATAGCCTTGGGCCGTAACAATAGTCACTTAAGTTTATTTATCAAAAGTATAAATGTATCACATAAAAGTCCTTGGAACAACCTTTTATTTCTGAATGCCACTTTCAAGCTGAATTGGGATTCCAGTAAATACATCATCAACATCATCATCACCCAGGGCTGCTGTTTTAGTTCACTTATATCTGTTCCCTGCTTTACCACCTCACTTTGAAATATGTCACATGTGCCTCATTTCTGTAATCATCTAACTGTTTATAATTGATTATGCTGGTAATCAGCGGGATTCGTGATACATCTGTTGGCATAAACCAAGAAAGGGAGCAAAGAGCAAAACGACTCTGCATATTTTCTGGGTGTGTGTTTCCAGAGCAATGACGCCTCAGGGAGCGCATGGAACTGGATGTATTTTATCCCGCTTATCATCATTGGCTCCTTCTTCATGCTCAACCTGGTGCTTGGTGTGTTGTCAGGGTAAGCATGGAAGTTAATGTCATGTATGTGCATTGTTATAATTATATATCATAACCAAGGTCGAATGTAATTTGTTCATTTTCTGAATTGGATTAATGTTGTCCACAATAAAGTTGTCATTTTCTTGTGTGTTTCTCTCTTTAGGGAGTTTGCCAAAGAAAGGGAGCGTGTGGAGAACAGGAGAGAGTTCCTGAAGCTTAGACGACAGCAGCAGATTGAAAGGGAACTCAATGGATATCTGGAGTGGATCTGCAAGGCCGGTATGGAAAGTTCACTGCAAGTTAGTTCTCCAAAACATAAAAGTTCACATGTTTTAGACATAAATGAGGCCATCCGAAAACCTACCTTTACCTAAATTTTTTCCATCAATGTTTGGTTTCATGCTTTGGCAAACAACAAATTGGATGCTCGCTTTGTATGATTACAATAATTCATCACAGAACAATATTCAACGATAACTCTCGATAGCAAGGTATAATTTATTTGTGTGCGTTTAGACTGCCAAAAACAAAGCCCTTTTAAGAGATTCTATTTTTGTTAATCTAAAAAAACCCAGAATTTTATTATTTCATAACAGGTAAAAGCGATTTACCAAAAAAGAAAATAATAATAGTTTAATTGAAGTATGGAGTCAATTGACCAAATTATTAGTATGATTCTTCTGATTCCTGACTACATTACGCTCAGTGTGTAGCAGATGTTGATGGGAAAGAGGGATGGAATTGAAGGCTTATCATCAGAAAGAGGAAAGAAAAAAAGAAATAAAAATGGAAACAGACCTTTGAGATTCTTAAAAAGATAACCTGCGCAAAATCTGAAAGGTGCGGATAAATAACCCAAGGCACACAGTTGTCATTTTTGTTTGTTGTAAAGTGAAATCACTCATATTTGACAGCATTGATCCTTTGTAAGTTAGCACATACGTCTTTTGAGGTAAGCCAGAGCAGTAGGTAGCTGCTCTGACTTAACACGTGTCTGCACACACACTGGCACATTATTTATATTCATTTGTACAATACAAACAAGTTTATCTCTTATTTACTCTTTGATATTTAGTCTTCTTGGTATTAAACTGATGCTCAGCTTGATTTTGCTGAAGATGTGTTTAATAATAACATTTTCTCTCTGTTTTGTAGAAGAGGTCATCTTGGCAGATGATGAGAATGAAAATGATTATGACGGTATGAAATAATGCTGTGTATCAACAAGCTTTTCCAATCTGCTGCAAACAACAAAAAAATTTCAGCATGAATTTTATTGGCTTAAAAAAAGTATTGTCTTGCACAGGTTCTCGCAGAAGAGCTACAAAAAACCATAAGAGCAAAGCGGAGCTCCTCAATCCAGAGGAAGGAGAGGGAGATCTGGCATTGGGTAAGATATGTCCTGTCTCACTTAGTCTGGCTCAAACACACACAAACCTCAGGTACATAGAGATGGTATCTTATCTTGCATTTCAGCATTATCTGACCGCCTTCTTCTGCCCTTTGCTTTTCTGTCTTCTTCTATACGACTGTGTTCTTCCTGGTGTTACATTTCTCCTGCATGCCTTCTTCTTTTCCCTGTCTTTAACAAGACATTATTGTTTCAGTTCACCTTTACACCTTGAGATCTTCTTTCACTATGTCTTTAATTGCAAAAGAGAAATGACCTTAGGTTTCTGTTTTATTCTACATGCCTTAGTTGCAAAACCATGCACTAAAAGCAACTTGGTTCACCTTCCAGCAGAACAGTAACCCTTATTGTTCATTCACGGTAACACTTTTTAGTCAGATTTAAATCCAATCCTAAATTATAGAAAATTTTAAATTAGATGATCGAAGATAATCTCTATCCACTCTGACTTGGTTGGACTAATTATAGAGTGTTTGTGTGCAACATTGATACAGATATTCTCCAAAAGGCTTGCAACTAAGTGACAAATTTGCAAAAAAGGTAAATAAAAAAGGTAGTTCTGCATCGAGTTGACTTGTTTAGAAAGTGCCACTCAACAAAGCAACCTGTATGTTCCTTTTTATTAAAGACTCACTGAAGCATAAGGTCAATGTTTAGTCCTGTGGTCATAAAGGATTTTACTATGACCTTATATTGGTTTCATGCCTGCCTTAGAAGTTATACATTTATTATTTATTATTAATGTACCCAGAAATAAGTATGTTGCCCTTTTACGCCTCGGAGTTACATGTTCAAGTGAAGCACTTTGGGTACTGGTTAAATTATCTAAGTGTCAGGTTATTTCTATTTGTGTCTTGATTAATCTATACTTTATTATCTTGATTAATAAAATGTATATTTTCCAGGTTCACCATTTGCTCGTGCCAGTCTGAAAAGCTCAAAACTCGAAGGTTCAACCTTCAAGAGGCGGGAGCGGCGGTTTCGGTTCTTTGTACGACGCGTCGTCAAGTCCCAGGCATTTTACTGGACCGTGTTGTGTTTGGTGGGCCTCAACACACTGTGTGTGGCTGTAGTGCACTACGACCAGCCTGAACCACTTTCAGATTTTCTATGTGAGTAGGAGGGAACACAAGCTCTCTTTATGTACAGATTATCCCTGCAAACACACAAATGCTACACATGAACCCGCTTTACAATGCTTTACAGAAAGGAAGTGGGTTAGCACTTTTTTTTTTCTGTAATTTGGCTTCAACAAACAAGTACATCCAGAAGTAACTAGGAGATGCATATCTGAATTTTTGAAATAGAATGAGAAGTATATCATATTAGTATAAACTGATGACCAGGCTCTACTTTTAATACTTTACTTCTCACCTTATATACCTGAGATAAATCCACTATGCAGACAAATTGGTTGGCTGACATAATCGCTCAGATTTTTTTTTTTTCAACAAAGTTTGGAAATGAGATTAAAACTTTGCCATTTTAAAAGGTAGAAATTTATTTTTTTGACTGTCTTCTTCCATCTGCAGTTTATGCTGAGTTCATCTTCCTGGGGATTTTCCTGACTGAGATGTGTGTTAAAATGTATGGCCTCGGAAAACAGGCCTACCTCAACTCCTCCTTCAACTGTTTCGACTGCATTGTGAGATCCTGCATTGCACTTAAAAATTGTGCAAATTATTTGCTCCAAAGTTTCAGTGAAAAATTTGTAAATGCAAATATGTCTAGAGTTTCTTCTTCTTTTTTTTTTTTTTTTTTTTGTATATTGTCATTAGGTGATTTGTGGCAGCATATTTGAAGTGTTATGGTCAATCATACAACCGGGCACATCGTTTGGCATCAGTGTGCTACGGGCTCTCAGGTTATTAAGAATCTTCAAAGTTACCAAGTGAGTCAGAGAAATATTATCCCTTACCATCTAAAATGAACAACTTCCTGTTGCCATCACCATTAAACATAATTTATTACACACTTCCTCTCTCTTCTCTTCAGGTACTGGGCATCGTTGCGTAACCTTGTCGTCTCTCTTCTCAATTCCATGAAGTCCATCATCAGCTTGCTCTTCCTGCTCTTCCTCTTCATAGTTGTCTTTGCCCTTTTGGGCATGCAGCTCTTCGGAGGACAGTCAGTGCTGTTTTCTTGTCTCTTTATCTCTCTCTTTTTCCTTTCTCTCATAATTGACCTCATTTGCAGCAGTTTTCCGCCAAGAGACAGCTTTCTGTTAATTGCTGGTTTCTGAGTAATTTTTTCAAATTGTTTTTGAAACATAATGAGCTTTACTTGTGAGACAAATCTGTTTTCACTGCTATTTGTTGTGTCTTTTATATTTTCTTCATTTTTTTTCTACCTCCTACTAGGTTTAATTTTGAAAATGGCACCCCTCCGACCAATTTTGATACCTTCCCTGCAGCAATAATGACGGTGTTTCAGGTGAGTGGAGGCAATATTCTGAAAGAGGAAAGATGGGAAGAAAGGAAAATGATCCAAAAAACTAGTTTTTATTGGGTTTAACAATTTGCTCATAAACATACATTATAAAAGAAAGAAAATACACATCCCTATGTTACAGAAAATACTTTTTCTGGTACCATTCCCAGGCAACGAGTGGGTGTGCAGATAGCATCTGGTGGTTGATTTAAAAAAATGCAGTGACCACAAAGAGAGTGTTTTTGAAGACAAATCCTTATCCAGTCTTTTGGCCAGTTACTAAAATAAACGAGCCACTCCACATAATATAAATATGACATCAGGGAGTCACAGATTACAAATTAGGCGATCTCAGAAGCTCTGATCAACATGAAAAAAATAAATAAAATACCACATTTGAAAATGCTTTGGTTCCTATCCTTTCATACCACTTGCTATGTATGTCAATAACTTTGCCAACAGTGACTTGTTGTCTCTCTAAAAGCTGTTTCTTAAAATTGCCCCCCTCCCCCACTAAATGAATCTGCTGAAATGAAAGGCTATATTAAAAAAAAAATCTAAAATATTTTTCAAATAAAAGGTGAATCTTTGTTCTTGTCATTTTTCACATCTTTACAAGGGTTGCCAATAAATGTGTCTGAGCTTTGTATGTCATCTCCATGAATCTTGGAGCAACTTTGTTGGATTTTGTGTATGTTACAGATCCTCACTGGTGAGGACTGGAACGTGGTGATGTATGATGGCATTCAGTCTCAGGGTGGAGTTCAAAAAGGGATGGCCTTCTCTGTCTTCTTCATTGTTCTCACTCTTTTTGGCAACTGTATCCTTTGACAAGAAAGGAGTGAAGAAAGACATAAGCACATCAATCCCTAAGCTAAATACTAACAGTTATACTTACTACATATTTAATAAATTATACTTAATATAACCTGTCTCTTCATTATAAATGTGTGGTTTGCTATTTGTTTATGGGTATACGATATTGTACTCTTTTACAATGCCAGAGGAATCGTATTTTTTTTAACTCTGTGCTTAGACACATTGCTAAATGTGTTCTTGGCCATCGCTGTGGACAATTTAGCCAATGCTCAAGAACTGACCAAGGTAAAGTACTTCACAGTATTTTTGACACTATATATAAACCAGATTTATATATACATATATATATATATATTTTTGTGTGTGTGAAGAGGGTTGTTCTGTTCCACTTATTTGCACTTTCAATTCTCTTTGTTTCACGTATGTTGTGCTTGATTTTCGTCTATAATCCTTTTTCTGCAGGATGAGCAGGAAGAAGAGGAAGCTGCCAGTCAGAAGATTGCTCTGCAGAAAGCAAAGGAGGTGGCTGAAGTCAGCCCATTGTCAGCTGCCAACCTCTCCATTGCAGCGTGAGTTTTTGTTATTAGTATTTTTCCATTCTTTCCCATTTTAATTGATAGGGATACACTTGATTGAAAAATGTAGTTTTGTGCTGAGGCTTGCATATAATTGCTGCCTTGTCTTCTTTATGTCACTTCATTTGTCTGTTTTGGTCCTTTTACATCTGTTTTTTTACTTCTCTTAGTACTTAGACTAGGACAACTAAAATTACCCCCTGGAACTGTGTGCTTGACTTGGAATCTGCCTCTATTACTTGATTGAATTTTCTTTTTTTTTCTTTTTGCAAATTGCCTTTAGAAGACTTGTATTCTGAAGTAGAATTATATAAATGCAATGAACTGAATTGAGCAAAATGTCTGTCAGACATAATAGAATAGGTTTTTCTTTGTTGATCAATGTTTTGTACAAACTAACTGGTCTCATGCAGATAGTATAGAAAATTAACCAATGCATTATTCATTCATGGGCCAATAATCTTCACCAAGGAGTTAAAGTGAAAGAGAATGCATTGGTTTCGATGTAAAGCAGCTTCCCAGAACCGTACCCAGTATGCCACATTACCCGATTACCTAATAAAACACAAATGCACACACACATACACACACACACCTACACACACACACACACACCCACACACACACACACACGTTGCTCTGTCCCAGTTCTCCTCGAGCCAGTCAAGTCTTTGATCTCTTCCCTCTGGACACACAGGGGTCTTTCCTTTTGTTACTGATAAAGTTCACACTGACCCAATCGCACACACTCTGTCACTCACATAAACTCACACCACAATATGGTCAGCACAACAGGGAGTCAACACACATGGCAGGTAGACACTGATCTTACTCCTTAGCCTTAAACCTCTGTAAACTAAGTGTCTGACCTTGTAGTCAGATACTATGTGGACTGTTGATTAGTCTGTCATTTCATGAATTATGGTTGTTACTTTAGTTTTCATAGATCTGCACTTTATCTGTTAGCATATGTGTATGTGTCTTAGTTATAGGCATTAAGTATTTTGCCTTTGTTTCAATTGCAGAAGCTCCATCCTATCATTCACCTTTTAGGAATGTTTCCCAATATACATAGTTAGAAAGATAAAAACTTCCACCTATGACCCCTGATTGGGCCATATGTTGCAGAGTAAGGCTGAATTTGTAATTGAGAGGATGTTTACGTCTTATTTTAAATTTTAGAACAGAAGATTGCTTTATGTTTTCAATTCTGCTTGAAATCCCAAACTTGTGAAAGGATTTAGAAAATTTATTGAAATTCCTTCTTGAAACAGTCCTTCCTTTTCCAAGCAGGGATTTTCAACACGGGGTCACCACTGATGCATAAATAATCTTTTAAGAAGATATTCTGTGGTTGTCTCAAAAAGAAGGCTACTGTGAAATCTACATAAAACCCTGCAAAACAATAGCATGACGACAGAGTCAATTTATATGTTCAAAATCAAACCATCATGGTGGAATGCACAAACGTAGGCAATAGCCATGATTTTCATGTTCATCATCTGGGAGATTAATCATATTCTACTTAGCAAGAAAGCATATCAAATTACACACTGTCATAAAGTCAGAGTGACAAAAGTATTTTGCTATGTATGACTTTTTAATATTATTTGAATTTCGCAAATAAATGGAAAATGAAAGGACGCTTCAATAGACACCACGTGATTTTTTTAAAAAAAATCCTCGTGTCATGCACACATTGAATGATGGTGAGAGGCATGCTGCATAAGGACATTGTGGATATCACAAAAAGCCCAGCGTTGCATAAATGGCACAGATTTTGATGGAGCAGACTGCTGACTCAGTGGTTTGGATGACTGTTTAATGTGCATTTTGTATTGTGTCTCTATGTAAAGGATTGCATTCCAAAATGCCAAAATTTCTTAAAAAGAAAAAAAAAACAGTGCAAAGCAAATTAGCATTTATGAAAATGAAACACTTTTCTGAATTAATAGCTGCAGTGCAATTAATCTAAGTCGGCCCACTCTTTGCTATGGTGGACACATTACTAATTTTGGAATAAAATCCTTCTGTTATTTTGTGCCATCTCACTCACCAGCTGTTTCCCTCCTCAGCAACAAAGTACACAGTGAGTGTCACAACGCATCCGACCCCTTTCTGGACTGGTATTTATTTATTTGTTAATTCATTTCTGAATTCCTTCTGTTTGATTTTACAACCATTCCTTGTTTTCTTTTTTTTTTTGTTTGTTTGAAAACAGCTTCCTTTCCTTTCTTACCTTTGTTGTTTAACTTTCCTTTAAAACTGACATTTCAGGCTTTCGTTAGCTGTTTTTATGTTGGCTTATTTGTGTTACAGGTTCTTTTTTTGTTCTTGTTGCCTGCTCCACGCAGCACTGCTATTGCTTTACTGTGGTTGACTGCTGGCCCTAAGAGACAATGGAGTAAACGTTTGTAGTTTTGGAGGGTAAGAAAGGAGGTGGTCACTAATAGCTCATTTGGTCAACTCAGTGGCGATTCTGGGGGCATAGCTTTCATGATCTTGCTTTGGTTGATTTCTATTTTAATCTCTGTTTGTGTTCTGTGGAGTTGTTAACAGTAGTCAGTCTACAACCTGCAGCAGACACCATTCAGAGTTCTCTCGTTGTGGAAAATCGTGAAAATATGGAACAGTGAGTTCAGGTAGTCAGAAACAATCAACCAAATTTGGGCAATTGGACGAATTTAATCATGTAGTTTATAAGGACGTGCACAAGCTCTTTCCAGTGGCAAGAAAAGCTTTTATTTTTCCCAAGAGTGCCACCAAATGTGGCAGTGATTTATTTACTTAAACTTATAACAGAAAAGCAGAATGACAACATATTATGTATATTCATACATACATTTAAAAAATAAGCACCATGATAGGGAGGAAAACAGTTTAATCATGTTTGTGGGTTGTTCCACCATTTATCTGTCCTACATACTCGGCTACATATGAAAAAACAAATACAAACCTTAACAAAAATTTTACTAAAAATAAAAAAGGTCTCTTCTGTGCAGATGGTTGACAATATCACCTGCAGAGCTGAAGATACATTCTGATGGTGTTCTTGTGGCTGGGATGCACAGATATATATATTTTTTGCCATTTGTGATATCAGTGCATTTTCTATTTTGTATTTATTGGTTTTGGTAAAAAGCACTTGGAATTTTCTGCTGATAAAAAGCTTTTACTTTGTCTCAGTACCAAACTTATTTATCTTTTTCCAAATTGTAGTTGTCCAGACAATTTTCTACAACGAGGCTAATACTGACTACTGTCAATTACACTACATTTTTTTTATTTTATTTTATTTTATTTTTGCAAATTGCGTGGAAGCAGGTTGTGTCAATTGTGGACAATAATTTCAGACCTTGCCTCATATTTATCCTCCACTTGTGGCCAGTTTGGTTCAGTGAGTAAGGCCAAACTGGCTTTCACTTTGGCAACCTGTGTAGACAACAGTAGCTATGTTTTGTTGGAACCTGCCCTGTTTCATAGACCTAACCAAAATGTCCCGTAAATGTCTGTGGGCCCCACTGTGTCTTTATGCCCTTGCTACTTTATGTACCTACATTTTTGGTGTTAATTTTCATGTCATCATCTTCATATATTTAAGTGTATGTTTTCACAAAGTGCAGCCTAATAAAGGCTCTCGATGCTAACAACGCTCTTTTCTCCTAATTTCTTTACCAACAGCAAGGAACAGCAGAAGAATCACAAGGGTATCAATAAATCAGTGTGGGAACAGCGAACCAAAGAGCTCAGGAAGCAGACGCTGGCATCCAGTCGTGAGGCCCTCTATAATGAGCTGGACCCTGATGATCGCTGGAAGGCAAGGACAGGGAGGGAAGAACACAACAATGTAAAGGACCAGGCATAAACTAGCCCTTAGACTTGTGCTATCAGTGTACACAAGCTGGCTAGCATTTTTTAATACAATTTACACTTCAAATCTGATTAGAAAATGAGATGCATTTTTATTTAACTCTTCTTTGCTCCCTGTGTTCATTCCTTTCCATCATCTGTCCTTCTCTTTTTTGTATCCTCGTATCTCCTCGCAGGTCAACTTCGCCCGTCACGTCCGCCCCGACATGAAGACTCACCTGGATCGACCGTTAGTCGTTGATCCCCGTGAGAACAGAAACAACAACACCAATAAGACCACTGCCAACAATTCGGACCTCTGTATTATCCAGCACCATTCTTCCGATGAGCTCCACAAACAAACCCAGCTGCAAGACCAACACGGTCAAGTAGGAGTGGGAGGCGGAGGCAGTTCAGGCCAACCCAGGGCTATCCTGGATCGAGGGGAGTCCACTGAGAGTAGGCGGAGTCGCAAAGGTGAGCATCACCACAAGTCTCACGTCCGGTTGGACGCAACAGTCATTCCAGGTCCAGGCTCAGAAGAGAGACCACCCAGACGCCATCACCACAACCGAAGTGGCAGTCGAGGGGGAGGACAATCAGAGCACAGGAGGACAAGGTCACATCGAAAAAATGCAGAGGACGGAGAGGAGGGTGGAGGAGGAGCTGCAAAATCAGGGAGGCATAAGAGTAAGGGAAAGAATGGAGCAGGAAATGAAGATGGCAGAGACCATCAGGGAGCCAGTGAAGGGGGTGAGAGGAGGCCAAGAAGAAGTCGGCATAGCAAACAATCAGAGGGAGAGGGCAGGAGGATGTGCCAGCACAGACGGAGGTAAATATCTCTTTAGTGTTTCCACTGTTCTCTGATGTTCTCAGACCACAAACAAATGGCTTCTTTATTTATTTACTTCTCAACTTTGGCAATATTTTCATCAGTCCACCACCTTTTTAATTATTCAATGACTTTTTCCTAGGGATTGCAGTGTCCCAAACCTCTCTACCACTCGACCCATCCAAAAGAGCCTTTCCAGGCAGAATAGCCAGTACAGTGAGGATATGGACAACCTGATGAACACCAAACTGGTCTCTGGCTCTTCTCCACCTGGCCAAAGTCATACCAATCCAGTTGCCAATTACGCATTAGCCCCTGGCTTCGGATCTGCTCTGCATCTTGCTAACAGTGGCACTCATGGAAGTTTAGTCACATTGGATAGCTACGGTAACATCGGCCATCATCGGGCGCACAGTGTGATCAGGCTGCCTCACCCTGACTACACGGCAGTGGACATGCCAATTTTTCCGTCGATTAATGCTATTCTCCAAGGTAGGCCAGAAAAAAAAATAACTGCCTAATTGAAAATAAAAACAAATACAGACCAATCCTTTTTTTTTGTTGTGATTCAGTCAATAAAAATGCGAACACTGAGCCTCTACCGGCAAAGGAGGACAAAGATGACGATGATGACAAAGGAGGTGAAGGAGGACCCAGACCCATGCCTCCATATAGTTCCATGTTCATCTTGTCCACTACTAACCCGTAAGAGAAGCTTTAAGCATGTATTAATCAAAACTTTACATTAATAGGATGATACAAATGACGCATTTATTAAATTCTTAAAGTTAGTCCTTTGTTTCAGAAGTAGAAAATAGTATGCAAAGCATTTAAACAACAACCAATGCCGTGTTCTTCTAGCTTTCGGCGGGCATGCCACTACATTTGTACTCTACGCTACTTTGAGATGTGTATCCTGTTGGTCATTGCTATGAGCAGTATCGCTTTGGCTGCTGAAGATCCTGTCTGGCCTGAATCACCTCGGAACAATGTAAGAAAGTTGACATACATTTTTCTACCAATTCTGTGTAAGAAATTATGTATTTCACTTTTTTTTATATTTCATTTTGTCCCTGGTTTTCCCTCCACATGTTTTCTGGCCAAGTAATTTAAAAATCTGACCAGTAATTAAATTATAGTTTTTAGAGGGGACAGTTCAGATGAGTCATCTTTTTTATGATACAGTCCTCATCATTTTTGGGGGGTCAGGCAAAACTTTTGAGTTCCTTTAATCTTAAAGATTTTATGGATATATTTTTCTTATGTTTTTGTTTGCCTTGGCACAACTATTCTCCTTCCTTCAATCTTTCATTTCATTCCACAGGTACTTCGCTATTTCGACTATGTTTTTACTGGAGTTTTCACATTTGAGATGCTGATAAAGGTAAAATAAACTTTTTTTTTTTATTATTCCATTATTAGTTTCAAATACAAAACCAGTACCAATCTGCTTATGAATTGTGTCTCTCCTCTAGATGGTGGATCTGGGCTTGGTCTTGCACCAGGGCTCTTATTTTCGGGACTTGTGGAACATCCTTGACTTTATAGTGGTTAGTGGTGCTCTGGTGGCCTTTGCCTTCACGTAAGTCTCCCTCCTTTCCCTCTCCTTTCCTTGTCCCTGCACGTCCTCATGTCCCATTTCTTAAATTCAATTGTACCTCAATGTACAGCCTCTCGTACACTGAGGTACACCGTTCTGTTTTCTCTCCATTCCTTCCTGGTGTTCTGTTTTGCTTTTTCTTCTGTTCCTACCATCGAGTCATGTACATTATCTCGTACCCTTTCCTCAGTTAACCATTTTTTGCCGATTCGTTGCCAGTCCGTGACATTTGCCTATTTTCCACTATCTCTCTCTCCAGTCCATCTCATATTTTTGAAACCCTTTTTATTTTCAAGCAACTCTTCCTTCAAAGCCCTCCTCCACCTGCTTTACACTCAAGCATTTAGTCGAAAATAGCGCCCCTGCATCCTTCCTAACCAACCCGAAATTTACCCTGTGAGAGGGGAGGACCACCCTTTGCACCTGTAACCCTTTAGTGCCCAGGGCGTTCTAAACTTAAAGTGGGCCCAATGCAAAGCCAGGCCAGGTCATGCTGAACTTGGCTTCCATGCCCTTCTCCTCAACAAAGCAGGTATTTTCAATTCTACCTAATCTGCATGGCTGGGATGAAGCAAAATAGTTTGTAAGTGAGTCAACTTAGAGTTTAAGTGCTACTCTGGGTATAAACAATAAACCAGTGGAATTATATATGTGTTGTTTCATACGTTCACTCAGGTTGTATAGCACTAAGCCAATCATTATGAAATGCCTTAGTTGATTTTGTCTCTTAGCTGTGGCAAATTGTAGCAACATAAGCACATTTTCTATGGATTGTACTTGTTGCCTGTTACATCTGTGGTATACCAGATTATTAAAAATACGGTAGTTCTATTCACACTCTTCACAACTGGAATATATTATATTAGTTGGACCAGTTAGTGAAGTAAAGTACCTTGAGATTGTTTTTGTTGTAAGTTGGTTGTTTATATAAAAGAAAAACACAATTGAATCGGACTGACTAGCTGTGAAACAAAGCTTTCAAGTCATTAAAAACAGCTTTGAAATGTTGTAACAGTTAACAGTTCAATCAGTCCTTCAAGGCAGTTTATTAGAGTTATTGTGTTAAATTATTCAATTATTTTGGGATATTTTTACCCCTTTTAGTACTCAGATTCACACCCTCAATTTAACTTACTTATTTCAACTAAGGAAAATAAAATACTGACATTTTCTACCACTATATATTTATTTGTTTAATGTTGATAAATGCCATTAATTTGGATGTCCCATGACCAAACCTTATTTTTCAAAGCTTTAATTGTTCAAAAATCACAATATGAACAATAGAGGGGCTTCAGTGGTGGTGCTCCATTTAGAAGACTGGCTTTTTTCCTGGGTCATTCTCTCTGATTCATTTTTATGTGTGTTATCTTTTTACCTACACCCTGTCCTGCCCTGTGTTTCAGTGTAATTGATTTGTCTTTCTATATATGTGTATAAAATAGATCAATGCATATCATTAAGTGGATCATTTAAGGTTTTTGCATATCATGTGAGTTAGGTTTTGTGTTTGCATTATTATTATTATTATTTTTTTTTTTGTCTTTCAAAGTTGCTTCCAGTGCAAATCTATGAATTAATGTACAGGCAGCCATACAGGGTTTTAGTTGAGAAGTGAATTTTTCAATTAATCAGGCTGAACTGCAATTTACAACGCTAATGAGTATTAGATAGATGGGAACTAGTCAGACCAGACTTGTACCCATCAAGATAGGACCTTAATTTGATTTCTGGATATCGAGCAGCACTCCAGAAAGGATTGGTAGTCTTGTTTGAGATGTTTATCGCTCCTTTAATCAAATCAGTCAGGTCTCAGAGCTGCAGTGTCATTTGTCGCAATTGTGGCTGTCCTGGTTTTTTCCAATGTCAGCCCGAGGTTCTTGTCGAGACTGAAGTCAGAGCTTAAACTCATATAAAATAAACATATTTGATTTTATGTTATAACATGTCAATATTAAGTGTTGAAAAAGTGTCCTTAAATAGGGATTAAAATTTTCAGTTTTCAGCAACAATTTAGTCAGGCATGTCTTATTGCTCAACTTTAGTGATGACCTTTAAAGAAAATTTTAATTAACATATTTAATCATTTGTTTAGAAATATGCTTGTGAAATGTTTATGTGCATGTCTGTTTTTGCAGCAGGGATATGTTACTTTGAAAGTTTACCGAATGAAGAGCAATCCTTATGTCCTCGTATTTTTTTCTAACTGTCTCTCATATGGATGTATTACCTCCTTTCTCTATGTCCCATCTGGTGTCTCTCTCCCACCCTTTGTCTTTTGTCGTCTCTTCCCCTTATTCTTACTGTCTTTCACTTCTCACTCATCTCTTCCTTCGGATCACCAACAGCGGCGGCGGGTAAAGTTCTCTGTCTTGCTCAGTCTTTCTCCTCTTCATTTCCTTCTGCACTCTCAGTATTTGTTCTTCAGATCTCACTCAGTCTTTCTATTCATTCATCCCTCATCACTGCTGAAACATGTACCTTTCCCCATGAAATAACTCTGCTCCAAACACATATAAACCTCATTTTAATCTACATCATGTGTCAGCTGGATCACAGTGCTGCAACGCAACATTAGGTGCTCATGGAAGGTTTAACACAAGACAGAATCAATGAAGAAAAGATAAATAAATGTCTGCAATTTGCATTTATTGCCATTTTTTTTATTTTAAAAGAGTGAGAAACTGAGTGCTACACTAAAAAGCTCAGCGCAGCATGCACACTTGTGCAATCTTGCACACCAAGTCAGAAATTTGTATATAACGACCAGCAGACTGCCATCTGGCCTGACAGCTGGAAGAAGTTGGCAGTTGTGTACACAGCTGATGTCGCTTTGGTAACCTTTAAACTCCATCTTTTCACCCTAATTGTCTAGTGTGGTGAAAAAACATACTTGCTGAGATCTAAAAGAGCTTTTAAACTATTGTAAAGTTTGCCAGCTCATGACCAGCTCACATTAGGATGCATAATTGCAACTGTGTAATCTAATTTATGTAACATATTATATTGTTACTTCTTTGTAGTTCTTAAATTTGATATTGTGTAACTATATATTGAATATAAGAGTATGACTTGGATTTAGTTTTAGGTTTTCACCAAAGTTTGTCTTGGTACTCGTAAAGGTCAAGGCTGAAAGTTTTTGAAAATTGTACTCTATGTTGTTTGAACATCAATAAGCAGCTAATCTGTTCAAATTCTTACTAGGAATGCCCAGAATATTTGGGAGAGATGTGTATCTGATATTTTAAATCCTATCCTAATATTTTAAAACAATGATAGAGTGACACTTGCTGAAGACTTATTTATGTCTAGCAAAGTCCTCACCGCACACAGAAATAATTCTCCAAAATATACCCTTCTCCATCACTCTGGCTGCTGCTGAAAAGAAAAAAAAATCTTTCAGCATGGAAGCAAGGTTTCAATGCAGCATGAATAGATTTTACCATTGGCTGGGCATGTGCAAGCCAAGGCTATAGCCACATGTGTAAAGCATTGAAATACATTGCAAAGTGTTTAGCAAGTAGAGTAAAACAACAGTACTAAGACAGGATTGATAGCATGTACTATAGTTTTGAAAAGACACCTAATTCTAGCATGTAGCTACAATGCCAAAGTCACACTTAGAAGTAAGGATGTAGTGTAATATTATAGCAATGCTGCATGTGTTGCTATGTATTTAACCCTGACGCAGTTACTCATTGCGAGCTAACTCGAATCAGTGCCGAACAAAAAAATGGCTTCACAAGGCCATTTTGGTATTCAGAAGGCTAAGGCTGTTGTATTGTTCTTAAACTGTTTAATTTATGTGTGTGTCTGTCTACGTATTCATATGTAGGGGTAGCAGTAAAGGAAAAGACATCAGCACTATCAAATCTTTGAGGGTTCTGCGAGTGTTGCGTCCTCTGAAGACTATTAAACGGCTTCCAAAGCTCAAGGTATGTCCACCTTATTCATCAAACTCAAGCAAAAAAAAACCTTCTGCAAGGTTGAAGCCTATTTGGCAAGAGAAAAATATATGTTATAGAAAAATATATGTTATAGAAAAATATATGTTATATAAAATATATGTTAAAAATATATGTTATACATTTGTTTTGACAAATGTAAAGAACATTCCTACTTCTTTCTGTTTTTCTGTGATCAGGCTGTGTTTGACTGTGTGGTGAACTCTCTAAAGAACGTCCTGAACATCCTGATTGTCTACCTACTCTTCATGTTCATCTTTGCTGTGGTAGCTGTGCAGCTCTTCAAAGGACGTTTCTTTTACTGCACTGATGAATCCAAAGAGTTTGAGCGCGACTGCAGGTCAGGAAGTACCAGTGCTTCATGACAACCTAATACTGTTTGTCTGTGAAGTCATTTTGTTTTTTCCAATATTTTCAGGACATGCACCAAAGTCCAAAGATGTATGCTTATGAGAACAAACCTAAGTAATTTTTTGTGGTACTGAAGATGCAATATGTGTCTTTCAGAGGCGAATATCTGGTGTATGAACGTGATAACGAAGTGAGGGCGCAGAAGCGGGAGTGGAAGAAATACGATTTCCACTATGACAATGTGGCTTGGGCCCTTCTCACCCTCTTCACTGTTTCCACTGGAGAGGGGTGGCCGCAGTAAGCTATTACACTTATGTAAAAGTGAGTAGAGAATTACATTTTTTTCTTTAGTTTGATAACCTGTTTCCCTCCTCCCCTACAGGGTGCTGAAACATTCAGTGGATGCGACCTATGAGAATCAGGGCCCGAGCCCAGGATATAGGATGGAGATGTCCATCTTTTACGTGGTGTACTTCGTGGTCTTCCCCTTCTTCTTCGTCAACATTTTCGTTGCTCTCATTATCATCACCTTCCAAGAACAAGGAGACAAAATGATGGAGGAATATAGTCTGGAAAAAAATGAGGTAAGAAGCTAACACAATATCGCAAATTAGCATTATGATAATTGAATTCTTACTGTGAGTTTAGAGAACGTAGTTGGGACTCGAATTTAACTTTTCTCTTGTCTTGGACAGAGAGCATGTATAGATTTTGCCATCAACGCCAGGCCTCTGACACGCCACATGCCTCAGAATAAATTGAGCTTTCAGTACAAAATGTGGGAGTTTGTGGTGTCGCCGCCATTTGAATATACCATTATGGCTATGATCGCGCTCAACACCGTGGTGCTAATGATGAAGGTAAGTCACAATGAGCTAAAAATACACACAATAATATTGCCCCATAGTTGTTATCAGTGTTACAAGTACCACTAACTGAACTTGGGCTGAATTTGTTATTTAAAGCAGATTTTTCCATTTGTTTTGTCTGCAATGCAGACTATGGGTCTCGGAATAACATCATTCTTTGTTTCGCCATGTTTCAGTTTAAATTTTGGAAACATCTTGACCATGTTACCTACTTTGAGCAGTACAAACTAATCACAATGTATTTCTCTATACTTATACTTTTAAGCATTATATCAACATTTACACTGATGGAGAATTTCATGGATTTTTTGAGATGATATTTGTCAAAAGCGTCAATTTCTTTTTTGGCTGGAACCTTTGTATCTGCATGTTCATGATAGGCCTGCCAATCAGATGCACAGATTCCCTGTGGGCTTCTCTTGGCCCACTGGAAATAATGTATTGTTGTGTACAATCTGTGCAAAAAAAGAGAAGAACTTGATGTTTGTTAAGTTGTACTTATTATTATTAGTTTTAGAATTAGTAACATAGACATTAAGGTAACTGTAAGGTAACTGTATATTCTGGTAACGGTAAAAAGTGTTGCCAAAGTGTAAAATTCAAATATTTGATGTAAAACATTTAGTCAATACAGAATAGGTCAGACTGATTCAGATGTTTGTCTATTGCATTTTCCTAAGTGAATGTACTGTGTGTCTTTGTGTTTAGTATGATGGAGCTTCTGTCACCTACGAAGCAGTTTTAGCCAACCTCAACATAGTATTTACTTCCCTCTTCTCCTTGGAGTGTGTCCTTAAGATCATTGCCTTTGGGGCTCTGGTGAGTGTATATGTGTGTGGGCTTCTGTTTGGTAAAAATGCACTGTTCTTATGTATTTTTGTGGAGTTCCTGGACGATAACTCAGTTGTTAATGTTAACATTGTCTTCATATGGATGTAAATACATTGTAAAAGTGACGCATTTGTAATGCATAATGTTAAATCAGGCGAAACCCAAACAAATATGATAAGAAGTAAAGAACAGGAACAACAACACAGTGTCTAGAAACTTGTATAAACATAAAATCACTTGTACTTCTTAGCACATGTTGGAAATGCATTAATGTCCTAATGGGAACAGGTTACAAGCCTAAACCTTAACTTTAACTGGGCAACGTCAATTAGATTGAAAATTACATTGGACTTATATAACTAAAGCATAATGCTTGTAAAATTCATTCAGATGTGTTGTACAAACAGTGGAAATGGACCTAAACTGATTCCTGAACTTAGATTTCTGAAGTAGAAACACACATATTGATTGTTCCGCATTATTGTTTTCATTTTGTGGAGAAAAGTTGTGGTTTACTTTTTTGTCCACAGCTGTACATATAAAACTAACAAAAATCAAAGAGTAAATTGTGCAGTTGCTGAAACTGTGGAACAAAAAGGCAAGGAAAGAGCAAGATATATTTTGAGGCTGAATGGTCGGTGGAGATAAAGGACAGTGTGGGAACAGCACCGTATTAATTAGTTGAAATCGTGTGAATGACATATTGGTGACGAAAATAGAAGCAAAGATTACTCTGAGGGCGGTGATTAGACAGAAGAGGATTTAAATCTTAGTGTGAAGGCCAAAACACAGTCAACATGGGCATCTTAAGCCTAAATAATGCTCAGACATGTCCTTTATCAGCACAAGTGTGTGCTTGTAGGTGTGTATCAAGGTGGTTTATTTTTGATTGCTGCCACAAAGTCTAATGCACAGTTTAGCTACAGGCAACCATTAGAAAAAGGAGTGCTCAGAGTATCAACTCTTTGTCTTGAGCAGCACTCTGTGATTCCTTTCATACACATTAAAACCAGATATTTTTTCAGACTTTTATTTTAACTATGTATTTTTAAGTCATCTATACTCTATATGTAATGTTATGATGTTTGATGGCTGCTTTGTTGTGTGCTGTAGCAGAATTTGTCCTTAACTTGACTACATGACATCCATCCAGACTGTCAGTGAAGGTCCATTTGTCCAATCTAATTTTTATCTGTTCTTGTCAGAGTCTGACATGTCTTTTTTCCCACTTTTCCATTCTGCTTCTCACTCTCTGCTGCTTTTTCTGTGCTACTCACTCTTCATCTTGAATTATTTAAACAACCCTTTTCTCTATCTTAATTTATTTCCTTTATTCATACTTACCTTCCTTTTCAAATTCATGTTTTTCTTTTCTGTTTTATTCCACCTTGATAAATTTCTTCACATCATTTTCGGCATTATTCCACTGACATTTTATGCCCCTATCTTTCTCCTCCCTTGCGCTCCCTCTCTTCTTTGATTTGTTCAGAACTATTTCAAAGATGCCTGGAATATTTTTGACTGTGTGACAGTTCTGGGCAGCATTACAGACATCCTGGTCACAGAGCTTGGGGTAAGTACCAATTTTGCCATTTATGTTCTAAAGTCGTTTCTTCTGAAAGTCCAGTATTAAATTTGAAAAGGCCTCTGGAAGTGCAGTATAAGTTAGGTGGGTTGCAGCATGAAGTTTTAAATCTGTCACTGTCTCTCAAAAACTTATACAAGCCAAGAGAATAAGGGAAGAGCGTGAGTTAGATATCATCGTTGAGTCTGGCATTGCTCAGTCATGCGTGACCGTCTCTTGAAAGTCTTATATAATTGTCCCAGTTGGTGAGATGGGGATCCAGCCAGCCAACTCCGATGCCACCGTCAGCAAGGCAGGGAGCATGCTGATGCTCTACATAGACCCAGTTAACAGCTTGTCCAAGCAGTCAATCATGTTATTTGCTTGTTTCAGATGTCTGATAGTCACTACAATCAGTGCTTCAAAGTTCCAGTAATGATCTCACTCTTGGTGTTGGCAAAGAGACATCTAAGACTATTATTTTAATCAAATCAGTTTTCTATTTCTTTTTAGAAACACTATATAAACAAAAGTATTCACTCATGTTCTTTCACACACGTGGAATCTTCAGGGACTTCCCGGTCTTGTCGACTTCATAGTGAAGCAGACACTGCCAGGAGTGCATTTATTATGTCAGATATCGACAACGCTGAAAAATATCACAAGCTTGTTTAGTCAGGGTAGGGTTAGTGTTGTCAGCAGGACATTCAACTTCTTTCGCACCAAACTTGCCCAACCACCAACCATGTCTTCGTGGGACTTACTTTGTACAACAGAAAGGAGTCATCCCCAAACTGTTCCTTCAAAGTTGGGAGAATTAAATTGCCCAAAATATCTTAGTATCCTGAAGTAGTACAAATTTATTGTTCTACGACTAAGAGGGTAAACCCAACTCTTGAAAAATGGCACCAAACTTTATCTTTGACATAATGCAGGCAGGTATGTGCTAATGTCCTGGAGCCCATCAAATCCATACTTGTCCATTGGATTAGCATAGCGCTTAACCATCCGATTTTGGATGCCGCTGCTCAGGCGACGTCCTGAAGGACTCTACTCACTGTTCTGTTCTTGAGCTTACCTAAAGGCCTCATGAAGTTTGAAGATGTGTAGCTATTGACTCTGAAAATAGTTGGTGACTGAACACCACGAACGTCTCATATCTTACCTAACTTAGCATTTCATGGGTGCTCTCACCCTCAATGACTTCCTTTTTGTAACAGTGCCATTAAAAGTTGACTGTGGCTTATTTATTAGCTTTAATCCAGCACAGGTGACATCCTTTCATGGTAACACTGTAGAATTTACAGAATACCTGAGACTTGCACATTCTTTCACAAATGTTTATAGAAGTTGTGCTTGATTTTTTCATCTTTGGCCATGCAGGTGAATGAAAAACCTGACTTGACAGGAAGAGCAAATACTTTTGGCAATATAGTGCAAATCATATTCCTTGCTAATAGCCTATTTTGTAAGTTGTGTTTGGATTAAACATAAGGAGATTGAAGATGTAAGGAGTGCAGAATGAAATTGGTCCAGGCTCGCACAAATTGAAGTGGAGATAATGCAACAATTAAAATCCAACTTTGTACTTAGAATTCCAGGGTGAAACATGTAGGGAAAAAAATAAATAGATGTGCAAGGAGTTGTGATTTTAATCACTTTGAAAAACTGGTCTTGGTTAGATGTCTGTTGGAACAAGAAATATCAGCCCTCTGAGACACTCTGTAAAGGTTGAAATTGCTGTGGTTTAGCAGCAAAACTTTAAATATTTATTATTTTTGTTATATGCTTCTGTTGATGTTGTCATACAAAAGGCATACGTCAGAATATTAATCTAAACTACTGATGCATGTTGCTGCTTCTAAATTAATGTTAATGTTAATTTTATGAGAATGCTTCGGAAGTCACTGTTTAATATCAGTGTTTTACTGTTTCAGATTTTTATACATTTTTTACACATTGTATTTGTAGAAATGTATTCGGTTTTTAATTGAAAGTAGTTGGTCAAATTTGAAATTTAACCAAGGAACCCTAAAAAAATACTTCTATTGAGATTGATTTTAACCGTGCGGGTATTTTTTTTATAGTTTTAAAGCTATGATTTTTTTTTTCCTTGTAATTCGAGGTGATGTACCTTGAAACCCAAAACAACTAAATGCCTATGAATAATTGATAGGTAGCTGGAAGGAACCCATTCAATAAAAATCTTTTTTTAAATGTTGTTATTGTTGTTTTTTTTGTTTTGTTTTATCCGTTTTATAAAGTTGTGCATAATCTGTAATCTAACACCTGCTGTTGTGCTGATTTTTGGATGTTATGACCATTGATTTTTTTGTCTTTTTTTTTTTTCTTTCATGCTTTCTTTAAATCGTCTACACACTTTACGACGACCTTCTGTAATCTACTTTGCCCTGTTCCCTTTCTCTCCCCCTCGACCTGTTCCTGTGATTTCGCCCAATCAAAATGCACTATGAATCCTCTGTGTTCCACCCATGACAACCGGCTTGGTCAATCTGTCTGGTTGTTCTTGGAATCAACCAAAAATCCCAAAAATGTGCTGCTATAAACCATATGTCTGCAACATCCACATGTAGATGGTTTGTAATTTTTTTGGAGATCTTATTTTGCTGCATGTATTTTATCGGCATCCCAGCCAGTGTTATGTTTGTGAATTGTGCATGCTGTGATTGACTCACCCACAACACTCACTGAATATCCTTTACTGAGAACTTGAGCAGAGTTTGTAAAGGATTAAGATACTATAAACCACTACAGACTGCTACATTCAAATATGTGAGCTTACAATATTCACATATTCACCCACACATTTGAAAGTGACTGGTAGATTTTTCATTTTATTTTTTCTGCCAATACAGTGACTCCAAAGGTTTGCTCCTGGCAGAGAGAATAAGTAATGCATGATGACCCTTGCATGCCTTTGGCAGCAGCTCTTTATTTTTACAACACACACAAACAAACACGCGCATACACACTCACATAGCGATGCACTAAATTCCGTACAGTAACCTGCATGTGCTGCTGCCAGGTCCTTTTCAGCGCTCAGTTTCAAACAGCGGTCTTCTGTTCTGTTATCTGATAAACAGTGGAAGGACACATTCTGTAAGATGTTATATTATCAAGAAATTCAAATAAAAGCAACAAAATCCAACACAACTCTTTTTAGTGCAAATGTGAAAACTTAAGAAATGATTTTAGAAAGTTGTGGTTCTGTTGCTCTTATTTGATTGTGACATCAGTACAATGTCTATTTGACTTCTTCAGCCTGTTCAAGTGATGCATGAGCTGCTGTAAAATCTGTGGTTTGCTCTGTTTCCTTTTGCATGCTGTGTGATTGTCATGCTTTACAATTTGCATTTTTGCCTTGAGAGAATTAGTGCATTTGGTTGTCTTTGAAAGAAAATGTCCTGACAGTCCTGCACTCAAACTGTTCACCTTCTCTGCCACAACTACTAATGACATATCCCTGATTGGATGAAGCTAGTTAGATTTGAATGTTTTTTGTTTTTTTTTCCCCCTGGTGTGTTGCATTGTTTTGTTTGCCCGATCTACTGGATATGAAGAGCTTGTTGGAGCCTTGCTGACTTGAGTTTGGTTTGCTTTGACTTGTATGAGTCTTTATTATTTCGTTTTTATTGACTTTAAATCTGCATTGATTTGCGTTTTGTTTCTTCCCCCCGTTTTGTTTTTTTGTCATTTTAGATATGCCACAACGTGCTGCAAAACTAACCACTGTTTCATTTTATTCTCACCCCAATTCCTCTTTTCTCTCCCTCTTTTGTGGTCCTCTATGACTTCCCTCTCCTTGTCGCTTCCTATCTTCAACCTCCCCATCTATCTTTAACTCTGGTCATGATGTGGCTGTATTGTAGGATAATTTCATCAACTTAAGTTTCCTAAGGCTGTTCAGAGCAGCTCGTCTCATCAAGCTGCTGAGGCAGGGAGAAACCATTCGCATCCTGCTCTGGACATTTGTTCAGTCGTTCAAGGTTTGCTTAAAATTGCTCTAAGACTCTGTGTGTTAATTTTTGAGAAGATAAACATTGTCATCTATAGTGCATAGCTTTTAAAAGCCAGACGTACCATTAAAATATTTGATGGGAAGCATATTTTTTAATAGTCACTGATTTTTAAAAAAATGCTTCTTGCATTATTTTGTGTTTTGAGTCCTGCTATTGATGAGTCTCACTGAATGACTAAAAAAAATCTAATAAACAAAACTGCATCCCATCAGCATGTTTCAGTCATAGTTCAGCCCTTCCTTAAATAAGATGACCCCAAATCCATACTTACTTAAACATGTGTGAATGCAATTTATCATGTGTGCACTTAACATTGTACATTTCTTAAAGATAAATATTCTCAAGACAAATTAGAGCATTTCTAGGTGTCAATTCCATATAGCTATTCAATTTATCCTGTTAATTGTAGCAGACTTTTGATGCAGAATATGTCCTAGAAGTTAGAACTAGATAAATTAATCCTAGCTTTGCAAATGAAAGAAAAATGATTTATCCGAAGGTTAATGATGTTTGAAAATCACAAATTATTAATTATGCATAAGATGGGATTTCTTCATGATTTCTAACAAGGGTGAAGTATGAATATCTGCTGTGATTTCTGTCTTTACATGTTCAAATCTTAACGTGTAAACATGTAAATCTTAATTTAATTTTAACTAATTATTTCATATTAAGAAATTCCTAATTTTTTAGTATTCTATAAGCGATGGTTGTCTGTATATTTTACGTTATAAATTCTTGTCATGTGTGTTCCTCCTTAGGCACTCCCTTATGTCTGCCTTCTCATTGCCATGCTGTTTTTCATCTATGCCATAATCGGGATGCAGGTGGGTGACACCCTTCACCTTACTTTTCCTACATTGCTTTGAAGATGCATTTAATATATTTTACTTTTGTGAATTCACAGCAAGGGGCAATGTAGAGACAAATTAGATGTGATGCAAGCTCCAAAGGGGAATAGCATAACAGTCATAGTCTAAACATCATGTGTTTTTCAGATTCACTCTACTTCCGCCTAAAATTTATTTTAATGTTAGAAATAATATGACTTTGTTTGGCAGCTATTTGGGAATATTGCTATTGAAGAAGATGGAGAGAGTGCCATCAACCAACACAACAACTTCAGGACCTTTGTGCAGGCTTTGATGCTTCTCTTTAGGTGATTATTTGCATGTGTTTAGGATTCCCAGAAAGAGTGGATGTCCTTACATACAGTAATGATCGTAATGCTTGCACTTTATGCAAATGTTCAGTTTCCTTCCATACTCCTTTTTGCTAAAGATCTCATTATTGTGCGTTTGAAGGAGCGCGACAGGAGAGGCGTGGCATGAGATTATGCTGGCTTGTCTGGGGGGTAAGGAGTGCGACATCAATTCAGGAAACACAGGGCCGGAGTGTGGAAGCCAGGTGGCCTACCTCTACTTTGTCTCCTTCATCTTCTTCTGTTCGTTCCTGGTGAGTGCACACTGTGAGGTTTTAACAGTTGCATCCTACCAGTAGAGGAAAATCACAATGCTTTACAGAATCATATGCATCTCTTTACAACCTCTTTACAACATGTACTAATTTACTGAACGATGTATGTACATGGCACCACAATATGTAGAAGAGGATATACTGCTGTGTTTGGTAGAAAAATACAACTCCATCTTAAAACACATGGTGGTGGCAGGATCGATAATTTAGTTGGGTCGATAATTTTTATCATTCGATCAAGATTTGTCAATTAAATTTCACAAACACTCTCTATTCACTCTGTTTGTACTTATGCTATTTTGCCAACAACAAATAGGCAGAAATTTAAATTGTTAGATGTGCAAAGGTGACACAGAAACCTTAACCCTCTCAGGCTCAAATTACTTGAAAAGACTGGCTAAGTTGTTGCAAATCTGCAACACCTGCCTGGAGAGGGTTAAAGGTCTTGCAGCTAAAATACAGTTCAACAAAGTATTGAATGGGAGGGGGAAAGCATGAATAAACATATATTTGGTTTACGTGTGCGTTCAAATGCCTATATGTGCAGATGCTGAATCTGTTTGTAGCCGTTATCATGGACAACTTTGAGTACCTGACAAGAGATTCATCTATTCTGGGACCTCACCACCTTGATGAGTATGTAAGGATATGGGCCGAGTATGATCCTGCTGCCTGGTGAGTGCTAACATGCCTACCTCCATCTACAATGAAACACAAAGCTTATAGAATCGCACACATTAAGTTACCATATGACATTCAGATTTGTTAAAGTATTGCCTTCATGTTCTAACAAGTTTGCTCACACAGGGATTCTCACCAAGGTCTGTGGTCACGGCAGAGTAACTCTGTGACCGTTTTTCTCTCTGGTAAAATGAAATTCTGATTCGCAAATGTCTTTTTAAGGAATTATGCTATTAAAGCTGCAGTAGGGAGTTGTAAGAAAAATGTGGACTTGATCTCAAAAATCTGAACAGGCACTCCTTAATGCCCTTCTGCCCCCAGTTGCATTATGTTGCGCCACACCTCCCTGTATAGCAGAGCCTGCTGACAACTTGACAAATTGTCAGTTTCCTGTAACATTAGGTTGTTTCATCATCAGGGCAGCTGCAGCACACTGCTAATCTTGAGCTTCGGGGTGTGAGCAGCACATACACGAGCACGACTGACAATACTAAGATATTCCTCCTGGGTCAGATTGGTTGTTTCTGACTGGAAGAAATGTGTTTCTGCAAACTGCACTAGGACCACTGAGAGAAACCAGAAGAGCTGAATTTTGTTTCACAGATGATCTGTCTCATATTCTACTGTTAGGACATGGTGACAGTTTCAACAAATATGTTATAAATTCCCTACTGCAGCTTTAGGATGTAAGTGCTCAGCTTGTCACAACAAAGTGAAGCTCTTGCCAAATAGTTACATATGTGTACAACCACATGGGACCCCTGGTTATCTCCATCACACAGAGCATTCCTTAATTTCTCCTCTCCTGCCCTCCTCCTTCCCGAGATATATCTTTTACCTGCTTCTAAATCTTCTCCCTCTACTGGAAACGGCATACTGGCAAAAACTTAATGTGGCAGTGTCTACACTCCACAACAACCTTCCCTTTAATGTAAATATCTGCTGTAGACATGCTAAGTTTCAAGGTATCTGTATTCCAGATTTTGTGTGTTCCCTTATGCTGTCCTGCAAACTGTTTAACTGTTAAGAAGTAAAAAGACTTGAGGAGCTAAAACCAAAAATGTTTGAGAGTAGCCTTGCGATCTCTGATAGTCAGTTTTATTAAAGCATCATAATAATAAAGGAGTTACGAATGGATGCATTTGTTCAATGAATAACTGGCCAATGACTGAAAAGACTTGTTTTTTTTCTGCAAACATGTAGCGAGACAAATTCCAGGAAGCAGCAACAAATAGCTAACACTAAACATGTATTTAAGAGGGAGGGACTCCTCACATCAAAAGCAGCTATTAAGCAGCTATTAAGCAATTATCAAGCGCATACATTCCTAGTCTGTGTGTTTCTTGAATTGTATTGTTTATTCGCTGCAACTCTCTAGCCAGATATCAAGGCCTTGCACTGAAGTGATGTTTTTGTAATTTATCTTATCTCAAGGATCATTTTTACAACACTGTAAAGTCTTTTCTTGTTCTTGTCGATCTTGTGTTCTTGCTCCCAATCTCCTCTCTTCTCTCTGGATGTTTTTTTCCCCTGTTTGTGTCCATGTTTAACTCCCCTGTATTCTTCTTGCAGCGGGCGCATACATTATAAGGACATGTACAGTTTATTACGAGTTATCGACCCGCCTCTTGGCTTAGGAAAGAAATGCCCCCATAGGGTGGCCTGCAAGGTTTGACTCTCATTCAAATGAAACCTTCTCAACCACACTTGCTAGCCATGGCATCCAGGAATGGATTGAATGCTGCTTTTGTTTTTGATTTGTTTTTGGTTTTTTGTTCTCTTAGTTTGTTTTCTTTGTTTTTTCATTTCAACTTCTTTTCCACCATTATCGACTTGCATTCTGAAGTGCTGAGAGAATGTGCAGGACAATGCAGACACCTGGAGAAGCATGTTAAATGCACAAAATGAAAACTTTAAGATGTTTTGCCATTATAAACTAGATCCTTTTTTATTTTGTTTTTGTATTTCTTTTGACTATCTTTGATTTTGTATTTTTATTTTGTATTTTTTGCTTGCTGTGGAGCCAGGGCTTTAATGTAGCAAGCTACGGTTGTCCACTGTAGTGATGCATTGTTCTTGGTTTCGGGGGTTTTAGGGGAACAACAGAAACTGCATTGACACCCCTTCCTCTTCCTCCCTTCTCTGATCAGAGCAGACACTGCTTGTTGCCTCCTGTCAAGCTTTGCTCTGCCTTTCTTTGGAGTCGCACACAAACACACGCCGACAAACATACTGAACACACAGCGACATACGGAAGCAAGATTCAGTGTTTACTGAACACGATTCTGTTTTTTGATATTTTTTGAAGGGTGATTTTGATATTTAGCATATATTATCAATGTTAAATATCATTTCAAGATAGTACAAAAATACTTAATTCATCATTATTGAGCCACCAAACACAGTAGATTTAAAAGTTTTAAAAGAGGGAGGTAAAATATTGTTGATAAATCCTTGTACATTCTGTCTTTGCGTAATTCCTTTTTTCAAAATTCATCAACCAGGATTTCTCTAATACACTACTAAGAAATGTAGAACATTAAAATAAATATTTAGCAAAAGAATTTTGCAGGTGCTACTGGATTAAAAAAATAAACCCAGTTGAGTGATGCTTAATTTTCCTAGGCAAAATGTAAAGGGAGACCGTTCATCATATCAACATAGTTCAGAATTTTGGCCTATTCTTTGACCCAAACATCGGTACAAATAGGAAATGTATTTATGTTTGACAATTCTTGTATTCCCTTTAAGAATTCACTTAATTTTGAGTCTTAGAAACGAAACGTTTTTTAATCTTTTGCATAGTAAAACCTGTTTACTCAACCTAGTAGAAACGTGACTAGATTCCAGCCCTCAGCTTTTATTTCCTGCCTCCTTTAGTTTCTGAGTCTCACGTTCGAGAAGAGAAATATTTTACCTCAGAAAACCCACACTCCCACACGCTCTCTAAGTCAAAAGCGTGTCCTCCCCACTGTCTATTTTTATTTGTTTTGGTGAATTTCCTCCCACCTTCTCTTGTATCTTTCTAATATCCTATTTTCTATTTTCAAACCTATACTTTAACTTCATCTACTTTCTGCCTCTCTCTCTCCCTCTCCTGATTTGGTAACGGGGTGGTGGCACTGGCTGATGATGCAGTGGCAGGATCAGTTGCAGGGAAATGTATGACATGCTGAGACACATGAGTCCTCCGCTGGGCCTAGGGAAGAGGTGTCCAGCACGGGTGGCCTACAAGGTCAGAAAGGCCCACCCCCCACATCTCTATCAAAGCCTTTCTTATGGGTGTCGTGGGGTGGTCTGTAAGGGAGGGATTAGGGATTTAAGCGCTCATTTTAACGTGGTGTAAACTTTAGTGTCATTGTTTCTTTGGTTTTGTTTCTGTTCCTTTTCGTGGAAAACTTTGGGTCGGCTGGTCGGTGTTGTGGCCTTTGTGTGGTGGTGTGGAACTGACGGGCGCAGGTAGCAGGAAAGATAATTCGAAGGTTTCCAGCCGGGGGGAGGGTATGTGGCGTATCCGCAGGAGGGGACGAGAAAGAGGGACCCTCTCAGCTCGTTTGCACTGGACAGGCAAGAAACAGATTGAAATCTTTTTTTTCTCCTTTTTTCCACATATTGAGATTATGATATTATGTGTAGAGGTTAATTACCCAAATTTTTTATGGAAGGGGACCCTAATAAAGAATCACACTCATATCTGACAGTATGCGTGTGCAACAGGGCTTGGAAGGTCCACCAGACTTAACGTCCTCTGACTCGCTCCCTCCTGTGGATGAGGCCCATTCTCGAACATACACACTCACATACACAGAAACACAGGGAATTAGGTCACATCATCCTACACATAGATATTTTCTGCTATGTCTCATGGTAGAGAGAGCAGGAGGGCTTGTGTCAGTGATGTGTTTTCCTCAGGGAGCCTTTGGTTGCCATTCAGAAGCTGTTCTTTTTTCTGTCACCCTTCATGTAGCAGCAGCTCCAAGCCCCCAAGCAGCCTTTTTTTCTATCTGCAAGTCCGATCTCCTCTTTGTCCTTTGGTTCTGTCGTCAATGCAGTTCTATTCTGTTTCCAGCCCCCTTTCATCTCTGAATATTGCTGCTCCCCTCCCCACACATACGCTCACCTGCCTTCTGCACGGCCAATGACCACCCACTGCCACTGTAGTTTTCTTGTTTGTTTGTTTTTTTTTTTTTCTCTGCACACGCCCTTTTGTCAAATACCACAGACACAAAGAGTCACTCGTGAAATATTTCCAAAATAGAAGCGTACAGAATGGTAATCACATCCGTGTGAGCATATGTTCCCCTAACTCCTCTCGTGATCGGCTCCCATGAGAAATCACTGGCAGATCACTGTAAGCCTCCGGGGGGGGCAGCTAGCCAAACAGCCTGTAGGCACAGGAGACCATTTCCATTCCCAGCCATCGCTCCTTCATCAGCAGACTTCGGGCAAATAGTGATGACATTTTATTGTATTTACCGTTCCACATTGGATGGGACTTAGACACAGTTGCAATATTAATAATGTGTCATTCGAATGCCCACCTTATTTCCAGAGATTAATTAACTTTTACATTGAGATTATTGTCTTATTGGGCCATTTCCCTGAGTCAAAACCTAACCTCACAAATAAAAGTAGAGATCAATACTATTTGACCGATACAGTTTAAGCTCTGTTGATCTCTTTCTCAGTTATTTTCCATTGTTTCATCTGATGCACCATTATCTCCCTTTCTGTCTGTTTGCGTTTTGCTCTCAAACTACATTTCTTTGCAAATGTATTGATACCACTTGAACTCTTTCACATTTGTTGGTACTACAGTCACTACCTTAGGTGTATTTTACTATGTTTGTATTATACACTACAAAAACAAAGTAGTGTACAGTAGCAAAATGGAAAGTAGATAAGTAGTTTTCCACATACTTTGTAAATCCAAATCTGAAAAATGTGGCATGCATTTGATCAGTTCACCTGAGTCTTTGTTCTTCATTGAAAAATAGTCCAAACTCAGCTAGAGAGGATAGATGGAGAACAAACATAATCTGCAAATTTCAAGTCTTGGCAGAGACTATCAGTTAGACTATCAGTTACTTGCTCCACTGTTGTTGGGCCCCTAAAAAGTGAACCTCTGAACTACAATGTCTTAGGCTTCTGCAGGCTTTAGCTATATTACAGATCAACTCTGTCCAAATTCCTTGAATCTCAACAGCTTAATGCTGTCACCTCACCACTATGTTTGATGACTTGGGGTATGCTGAGTCCCCTATATGTCTTGTGATGAACTTACAAAATAGACTTCATTTATTATATTTTTTCTTTTTGCTCATCCACCAAAACTGACAGATTTGCAGAATTCACAACTCACCCAAAGTTATCATGGACTTTTTGGCTACTTCTCAGATCAATATTCTCCTTGCCTGGCTTGTCAGTTTAGGTAAAATGCCAAAGATGCACATACACTCTGTAAAAGGTTTATTCAGAATATAAGTAAAAAATAGTCTTAGCTGAGAAGTAAAGTGCTCAAAAAATCATATTGGTGTGCAATAGAGTGCTACATAAAAGAGCCAAGAATCAAGTCCTGCACTATGCAGATTCCTCTGTTCCTTCAAGACTTTTGTTGCAGCGATGGCATACTATTTTCATTTCATATAATGGGCTGAACAGCATTTCATGTCCAAAACCTGCTACGCTCAGGTGGACTAAAAGCAAATGGTTGCTCTGGAATTTCTCTTTAGTGGGTAGTAGTAAAGGAAGATATATAAAAATGCATGCCATATCATTCAGATCATTTTTTTATAAAATAGCCTTTCCTTCCATTTCAATTGTGCACTGCTTTGTGTTGCGCTTACACATACAAACCCAATGAAATTCTCTGGAAGTTTGAGGTTGAAATATGGCAAAATGTGAAAGAGTTTTCCAGGCATTATAAGCGTCCCTCCTGATGGAAAGGAAACGTGTAACCCTTTTGTTCTCCTGCCTAACAACACAACATGCACTTTGTGCATGGTCTAATCCGATAATCTGTCCTTTGAACGTTATCATGTGACCATTTCCATACATATGTTTTCAATCCAAGCTTCACTTGAAAATTTCAACCCAGTTCACAAAACAGTGATATAGTTAGCTCTTTTGCTTTTCACTGTTGACTATTTCTCTCTCTCTGGAGGAAAGACATCAGAACCTTCAGGCAGGACTGCTTTTTACACATACAGCCAACCAATAATGGCTTCTGTTTTTCTGCTTCTTTTTAAATGCATTTTTTTTTTTTTTTTTTGTTATTTTGTTTTTGGTCACTTCTTTTTCTTCTTTTTCTCTTCAGCACCAAATAATTTTTCTAATTTTGTCGCCTCTCTTTTCCAAACTTTACTTTTCAGTTACAAACTTTCTGCCCTTTCATGTTTCGCTTTATATTCCCTACATGTGTTTAGTTGACGTTTACCCAAAAAGTTACATATTTATGGACAAAAATAATTCTTCCATGGTGAGCTTTTCTTGATTTTTGCTCTTCCCAATTTAAAAAAAAGAAAAAAAAACACTGCTCTCTCTCACCTATTAACCCTCCTAACCTTAATCCATTTTTCACACACTAGATCTCAACGTCTAAACCAGACATGCAGCAAATTACTCATCTGTGTTAATACAATTACTTTGTCTTTTCTCGTTTATTATACCAACAACCACATTGAAACAACTCAAGATCATTCCAATGTCACCAGCAGTGACTTTCTGTTCACAGCTACTCGGCTGCTTGTCCTGTGAGACATTTTGTGTGTGCGCTGCATGCTTGCATGGGGACTGTATGTGCAAGAAGGACTTGGGGAAAGATGGAAAAATGTAGATGTACTTAAAATGGAATGTGCACGGGGAATGCATGATGCAATGCATGTATGTTTTTTTTCACCCTTTCGTTGTCTTTTTCCACCAAAACACACACGAGCATCGTGCAGTGAGTTGGTGTCTGTCCCTGTGTTGCCCTCTTGTGATATTAGTCAATGAGACCTTTATAAGGTCAAACCAATAAATAAAAAACAACGTGCTTTATTCCTGTAATTTCTCCTATTGTTTGTTTTTGGTTTATTGGTTTATCAGCTGGTCTCAGTTGTTTTTACTGTGAACCTCCAAAGGGGGAGCTCTAGGTAACACTAGGCACTGCTCAGCCTGTAATGCTCTTTTGATAAAACAACCTGTGATTACTTTTGGATGTCAGTGTTAACATGATCAAAGTGATCCTTACGAAACAAATCAGTGACTCTGGAATTTTTTAATAGAACAAAAGTACTAAAAAGTAATTCTAATTTTAACCATTACAGGTAGAGTTAGTTCCTATCATTTAAGCTGTGCAAAGCTCCTTCAATCTGAGGACCCTTGCCCTTCCCCCCTTCCCAGCTCCCCTTCCAACCACAAACCTTGTGGTCCTGTCACCTGGAGGTTCCACAAACACTTCCTTTACTTCCCAAATTTTCTCACTGCTCACCTTAATTGGCTTCCTCACAGAGACTACTTCGCATGGATCTACCTGTGGGTGACGACAACTCTGTCCACTTCAACTCCACACTCATGGCTTTGATCCGCACAGCTCTGGATATCAAGATTGCAAAGGGTATGAAACGTTTTAAATTACTTTTGTCACTAGGTTACGTCTAGCAGCTTATGAGATAAGACGATATGCAATATTGGGCTCCAAAGAAGATCAAGAGTTTTCTGCACTGGGTGGGCTTGATTTAAAACTAAGATTTTGGAAATGCTTGCGTTTTCCGTTTTTATAAATAAGAGTTTGAAAATTTTCAAAATATTAATTTTGCCTTGTCATCATCCTGGAGGCGTGCTCATAATCAGCAGAACAATCCTGACAATACTATGTCCCGATTCACTTCTAGAGGAAGTCAGAAATCCATAATCACTGTGAATTTTATTCGACATTGAGCCACTTTGCTTGTGTTTTAAGTTTTAATGGTGTTTGGGCAATTTCCCTGAGAGCTAGAGCACAAAGTACAGCTAGAAATGGGGAAATACCCCAAACATATCTCTAACCCCCAAACATATCTCTAACCCCTTGGTTCCAAAACTCCAGCTGCATGTCCATTGTGTGACAGATTGTGATTGATGATTGGGGAGGACCTCTCGAGTTTATAGTGTATGTTTGTGGTCTGAGTGGATAAAATGCAGTCCAGACTCAATGAAAAATAACCTGTGAAATAATAGCTCTGTGGCCTACTTTTATGTTATTAGCAGCTTACGCTTAACCAATCGCAGTATTCTCACACTGTCACCGTTTCTTTTTTTACTGCAGAGTTCTCAAAATGGGCCCAGATAAATGATTTAAACGTGGTCAGGGATTCCTCTGTCCTTTTATAACATATTGTCAATGTTTTTGTGAATAGACTCTGTCAATACAGCCTGCCTTACTTTAAGATAAGAGTCACAAAAGTAGATCAAACAAGGTTCCAAGCTTAAATTACACACTTTCTAATCTGAACTTCATAATGATAGCTTGCACTTACTTTAGAAGACAAAGTTCCACGCTGCACGTTGTCTAAAATATTTCCTAGACTTTCATTAGGAAATATTTTGCATTTTATTCTTGTAGCATATCATTCCAGCTCCTTACGTCTTTATGTCTTACCTCATATGGCCTGGACTGTAGACTATACGACGTATTTAGGATGTCACGACTTAAAATTGAGAGAGTACCAGATGGAGTCACAAACTTAACTGATCCTAACTTCTGTCTTACTAATAAACACCTTCTTTCTTTTTGTCTGTCTCCTTGTTTGTATGTGGTGTGTGTTCCTTTTTTATATAAATTTATTTCTTTGGACGAATAATGTGTTCTTGTGTGGTAAACATTTTAAACAACATTATTGGTTTGTACTTGCATGTTGGATGCATGCATTGGTCTTGCTACGAATATGTCTAGGTGGCATTGACAAGCACCAGATGGACGCGGAGCTGAGGAAAGAGATGATGGCGATATGGCCCAACCTCTCCCAGAAAACTTTGGATTTGCTGGTCACGCCACACAAGGGTAAGTCTCAGAGTGCTGGTGCGGAGACAGATTTGTGGCTCGGTCCAGCCACCTTATGGCACCTAGTGCTCCAACGATGATTCACTTCACGCCACCCGAGGTCCGCTTTTCTCAGTCAGTCTCTCTCTCTTTCTGTCTCTGTCACGGCTGCACCCTCTGAATCAGCTGGCAGATCCCTAAACGCATATTAACATATCGCCACCAAATAACCAACCACATAAAAACACAACTCTGCACAGAAAACAAAAACATACAAAAGACACCGCATCTCCTATTTCTTGCTTTATCTGTGCCTGAAATCAGAGGGTGTCATACTATAGATAAACTCTCTATAGATGTCTTTTCACTCCAGGCAGCCAGAGTTCAAGTCTAAATGTGAAAACATTGACACTGAGAAGACATTTCTATACATCCCTGACTATCAACAGTAAACCCGTTTTGGCTCTTCTATTTTTTTGCACCAAATATGATGCACTGTATTCAATTCAAATTTTCCAGTGCCTTTAGTATTACAGAAATGCAGATCACCATTAGGTTATACCTGCATCTTTTTTAAGGGATATTTCAACAAACAATGTGATCTATGTTATTAACTTCTGTGCTACTCAACTGAAGAGGTTTTCTAAACTTGATTCTTCAGCCTTCATTCAGGATGCTTTTAGCTGCCTCCCTTGTCCACTGTCCCTTCCACAAAGGTCTCGATTACCTTAGCAGCTCTTCATCAAGTGGGATGGAGGTCTTTCACAGCACGTGAGCGAATTACATTTATAAGATGTTGGAAGATGAGAAACACAGATCAACAAAAACATAGAGTCTGGAAAGGGATATGAAAGAATGAAAACTACAGGCATTTGATGTCCTATATTGCAGTTACATTTTTTTTTTTTTTTTTTTTCCATTTTGTAAAGAAGTACATTAGTACTCTGAAAAAGCTGTAGGGGAAAACCTAAGTCAGTGGTAAATGTTCCCATGTTGGAATGTGTGCTCCTTCTATTGGTACCCGGAATAAAGTTTGATAAACCTTGTATTTCTGTGCACTTTTTCCTGAGAGGTTTATCTCAGTGTAAATATGTAAACATAATTTATGTCACACACGCTTAACCACAAAGCGGAAAAAAAATATTTGGATGACTTTAATACTGGAGATAAACTGGTAAATGCTTGTACTGCATGCACTGGCAAAGACTTTGATTTGGAACTGTTCTAGTTACAATGACAGCACCCCCAGAGTAAATGAATTTCTAAAGCTGTTTGTGGTTCAAAAGATTGAGAAATGTTATGAGTGCATGAATCTTGCTCTTAAAAACGTGTAAAAAGACAGACTGCATCAATACTGGCAATGTGGGAGGAACTGCATGGCATCTTGTTTAAAATAGAAAGTACAACTTACAGTGGATACAAAAAGTCTGCACACCCCACTTAAAATGGCATGTTTTTGTGATGTAAAAAAAATTAGACAAGATAAATCATTTCTGATTTTTTTTTTCAATATTTAATGTTTCATACCTACATTGTAAAATTCAACAGAAAAACAAACAAACCTGTTGGAATTTATTTATTTATTTATTTTAAAAGCACTAAAGACCTTTTCAGAAGAATATTTTGGATCAAAGAAAATCTTCAATTGAAGGCGTAAAGATTATCACAACTTTTTATTTCTGTTTTTTTTTTTCTTAACAAATTTTTTTAATTTGTATTTGAATTGTACAAAATAAATGTTGCATTAATTTTGAAAAAAAAATAATGCGAAATGATTTGAGTTATTGAAAGGATCATGTTTTCATTTCTTTTGCATCACAAAAATCTGAAATTCTAATACTTTTGAGAGCCATTCTATTTGATAAAACATTTAAAAATATGTTTATATATATATCCATCTGTCAGTGAAAAGACTTATTGCTCCATCTGTGTATGTTTCTGTGTGGTAAAGCGCAGGTTGCACACTGTGCATGCCTCGCTCTTCTTTACCATCCTCCATGCTCAGGGCCCATACCAAAGTGTCTAATCCTGCAGGGTAACTTGTCATTCTTTCAGCAGCTACAGACTTGACGGTTGGGAAAATCTACGCGGCCATGATGATCATGGAATACTATCGCCAGAGCAAGATCAAACGATCCCAGGCTCTTCGTGATGAACAGGTACTGCAGTCTCTAGTAAAGTAACACCCTGCCTGCCTCTGAGTCCCTGAATTAAAAGGCAGACTGACGCGCTGAAATAAAGACCACAGGTGTGTAGATTAATTTCTACAAATGTGGGCTGTGACAGCCTCTGTTCCAATCGGGACTTCCCAATAAGTAAAACAAATAAAATAAATAAAAGTGACTTTGTAAATGCTCCTAAGATGGGAAAAGTTTCTGTTAATCCGTTGCTGCCATCTTGGGGCCAAAGTCTATAACAGCAATTTCGGTGTTGACATTTTGGTGTGGAGATTCAAAACTGAACCTTTCACAAAGTTCAAAGCTCAGAATGTGACATTCGGGTCAAATATTTTTATCCTCCAGTGCTGTCACAGCCCCAAAGATGCCCATACCTAAAAAAATCCCTATTTCCCATTTTGACTGCCTGCAAAGATATTGCATCTGCTAACCTAACCTTTGACTGTTTTGCACTGCATAAAAGCATTCTCCTTTACCCTTAAACTCAGCACTCAAACACTTGTCAAGGAAGTGGAATGACCACTTTCCACATAATGACGATTGTATTTAATAATTGCTCCTCTGAAGGTGTTTGAAAACATTACAGTGCCTATTTTCTGAGTTTACTTCTTGACAGGATTATGCTACTGTATTAGCAATATTTGCCTGCTTCACATATTAACTGCATGTCGTAATATGACCATTAGGTGCATTTGTTACCTCTTTTTTATCCCTTTGACGTCAACCCCACACAATTCCCCTCATTCATTCATTGACTTTAATATTTATTCTTCTCACCAAAATGACACACTGTCAAACTGTCTTCCCCTCATGTGACCCATGCGACATGATGTCAGGAGCACCAGCTCTACCTCTCGATCTCCTACTGCTCCTTAATAGAACTACATTGCATTATTAAAGTGGAGAGTGAAACTTATAAAATGCTGAAATAAAAAATAATTGTCACATAAAGACACATTGACGTTTAATAATAAAAATGTGGAATCCTTCTGATCATAGTTCCACATACCATTAGCTTTTTAACTACTGACGTATTTTAATTTGTTTACTTAGGAATTGTTCAAGAATTATGAATAATCAATAGCACTATAACGATGACATTCACTACGTACAATACGTCAACGCCAAGCTGAAGCTTCTACTCACCATTAATCCCTCTTTAACTGCACATATGAAGAGGTGGTAGCCATCAAGTTAGAGTATGTTGTAATGGGAGACATGAAAAGGTTGATGTTTTTTGGTAAAATGCATTACATAATACCTAGACAGTAACTACTGTGTAAGTCAAGTTTGCTATAGCTGTAAACGTGGATCCTAGTAATTCATTTTTAAAGGACATTTTGTACATAATTATTATCATGGTCAAGTTAAAACAGCAAACGGTACACTTTTGAATGTATTCACCATCTCCACACAACTGGCACGCACCTCACAAAGAATCAAGTGCACCCATACCTTTCACTTCTCAAGCTCAGGAGGCAAATCCATAAGGTAACTTGGCAGGCCTGTACTGACACAGAACCTCAAGTGAAAGCTTCCTCAAAGGCACCACTGGTTTTCCACTGTCAGGTTTTTTGCTCTCTTAAGCCACCTCAGCTTTTTGCCCAAACTGAAAAAAGCTTGTTTCCTCCAAAGAGACACAGGAACAACTCGTCTTCAGTGGCATCTTTAGGAAAAATATTAATTACAGATCACAATTAGTTCATTTTAACTTTAACTAATTGTGATCTGTAATTATTTTTTCTCCTTTTTGGAGGTTTTCAACCTGCTCTTTGGAACCAGTGCTCACATAACCACATGTTTGCTCATGTGATGTTGATGAGATTCCTCTAAAGACAAAAAAAAAAAAAAAAGAAAGGACAAATAAAAGATGTTACTGAGATGAGTTGTCCCTGTGTCTCTTTGGAGGAAGCAAACTTTTTTGGGGCAAAAGCTGAGGTGGCTTAAGAGAGCAAAAGACTTTACAAGCATTATCATTATATTTGGTTCAATATTGGATAAACAAGACAGCTTGGATGTTTCAAAATAATATTTTAGAATCTTTATGGATTATAATTTTTTTTCCATAAATTTGCACAAAAATATGAAACAAGGTGAAATACATTTTGTCAATCATCTTAGAACTTTAGAAGATTACTAATAAATAAATGGCAAAAATGATAGTTCATATTTGACATTTTTCTTTATCATCTTTCCTAATTTATCACTCCCTTTCTTACAGTCTTAGATCCACTATTCCAGAAGCATGTTGCATCTTGTTTAGCCTCATGTTTATCATTACCTGATTTTCAGGAGAAACCCAAAATCCTTTTCCAGAGTTCGAGGGCTGGCTTTCTGCAATTTTTAGGTGTCTCTGCGTCAAACCTTACCCGATGTGAACTGGTGGGTCATTAACAGGGGCTATAAAACTGGATGGCATGCTGAGGAAGAGATAAAATGTTTACATCCGGCGTGTCGAATCAGAGGCAAATTTAAAACTCGCCTCAAACTATGACACTAGCCCTTATCAACTGGAAATGGACATGACTGCCCAAGAGGGTCCTTGATCATTTCCTTAGTCAGTCTCTGGTTTCAGTAATTCATTCCTCTTTCTTCTATACCTTTACAAAGCACTCTGTTGCTTAACTTCCTCAATGTTCTCTCTTATCTTTCTTGATCTTCCACAGTTACTAGTTTTTACTTTGATCTCATGGTTTTGTTTGCTTGGCCTTGCTGTTGGGAACTGCCTCCTTTTTGCTCCTGCTCTGCACCTTTTCCCTGCATTTCCCTGTCAGTCTGCCTGATAGCTGGCGGCGGCCATGTTGTATATCTCAAACAGAACCGAACGCCATTACTGTTTCAGCGCGTGGAGCCACCAACCCCCTCCCAGGATGGGGGTCCAGGACTCAACAACGCCTTGCCTCTGCCTGGCACAACAGATACTGGCAGCAGCTTGTGAGTTCATAAGTCCTTTTGACGCGCTGTTATGTTTTTAAAGAAAATCAAAGCAGGAAGACATGTTTCTGTGGGTGTCACAGGCCGGTGGAGGGCGGGATCCCAGAGAGCCAGTCGTGGGTGACGGCTCGTGCCAAGGAGATGTCCCAGAAGGTTGGCAGCTGGAGCCCTGAAGGACACTCTGAAGATGGCCTGGGAAGCATGTCCAACTCACAGGTAGAAGGATTTAAAAGACATACCCTAGAAAACCTTTTGTGCCATGCACAACTCTACATAGATAACATGCGTCCTCATGAGGTGCAAGTTTTAGTCAGTGAGTATTTAACAATTTAATGGACTTTCAGAACTCACAATGGACATGAATATCATATTGACGTTTGGCTTCTAATGAGGTTTGAACCATTTTCACCAAAATAAGAACTCAGTGCATGAGTTTAAAATTAGTGACACTTCTTTTTTTAACAAATTTAAACCTATTAATACACTCGCCAGTCACTTTATTAGATAACAATTATCAGAATGGGGAAGGGAGGGAGTTTATGTAATTGACTTGAATTCAGCTGAAAATCATAGCAAATGGTGCTACAAGCTGGGGCTACAAGGTGCACTGGCTCAACAAACATGGACAATAACAGACTGTAGAAATTGGTCATATCGGTCTGAAATGTGATGAATTGATTACTGAAATAATCCTAAACTAATGTAGTTTAATCATTAACTGATGTATGCAGGCTGAATATCGGCTACAAAAACAAGACACTTAGAGCAGGTATTAGGCCAAAACTGTGCAAAACATATATACATTTTGCATTAATATTACAAAACACCAGACTGCAAATATGTTTTACCCAGAACTCCTCTGTTGGCAAAGTTTCTCCTGTTGATCGCCTTTTGCAATGCAAGTATTTATTGGTTAATCTGAAATGTCATAAACAGATCAACCCTTTTTTTAGCTGCAGATTGATCCTTTGCCAAACAGCGACAGGAAGTGTCACTATTTCAAGTTTCCGCACACTGTACCTGCAGTTAGGGCTTTTGTTGGTATCGGTAGAGTTGTACAATGTACACAGCAGAATAATGCAAACAGAGCATCACCTCAAAATTGATACAGAGATCCCAAACCCAAATCTAAAGTTGTTTTGAAAATGATGAAGTACACTAATATATACATTCTGAAATAGCCTCAAGGTAGTGAAGGTATACTGTAGTGCAGGTACATCTCAGTAAATTGAAATATTCACTTTGATTAGGCTTGTTAGTCCTTTTGTAAATAATATTTAAAATGTTTTTTATGTAATTTTCTATTCTTAAATGGATTGATTTCATTAGCCGTTGCTGTACTTATTTAAATCTGAACCTAAACCAAACTTATAATTGAGGTAATATGAAATATCCTTTTTTTCATGCGTAAATGTTAGTTTCCCTGAGTTTCCTATCTCTGTTTTAATTTTTCTACTATGCAAAACAAAGTTACCTTGATACAGAGGGGTTCACAGTTTCTGCTGGGCCATTCTTACTTGTTTTTTGTCCTTGCTAAATCATTTCCAACTATGATCTTATTTGCACCAAACTTACATTTTTTTTAACTGTCTCACCCTCAAAGTCTTTCTCGTCAGTTGAATTGTTTTTCAAAATCTTTCTGTATCCTCCCTGAAGCACACGACTACATGCATCGATATTGTGTTTGTCTTCAAAGTGACTCATGTTCATGTTTGTTGTGCTCCTAGATCTAATCAGTGGCGTCTGCATCAGATTTAGCAATCCCTCCATACTGACTGACAAAGGTCTGAAACGGTTTCAACTGACACATGTATTGTTCAACCGTTCCTGCAAGTCAGATTTTGATATATTTAAGAAGAACAAAAAACTTGAATTTCACATCAACATTGTTGACAATTTACATTGTGTCAACAAAAACAAGATGCTTAATTGGGCATCAACTGCTTTGTGTGCAAACTAACCTTCAACAGCAGTTGTCATTTTCTTCACAACTTTCTTTGCTGCCTGCAGTGTGTCACTATTGCATCTGGATAACTTTATTGTTGTTCGTCTCATAAGTCCCTTGGGCTGCACATGCCTTTCTCCTCAAATCCATTCCTGCCATATGTCATTAAAGCCTTTCAACAAGGAAAAACTCTCCTCCCATTGTCCACTCAGTTGAGTTGATGGCAGCTTTTGTTTGGAGTGTACTTCTTCTCATTCCGTGTTTAAATTTCAATCGCTGTGGCAGTCGGCGCTAATACATACGCTTTCCAAATTCTCCCACCTTGTAGCTCTCTACTGTACCAGACATTTTCCAACTGTTCCCCTACTCCCTGTTAGCTATCATAGCAGCCAGTCACACCATCTCCTGCTCTCCTGCTCTGTTTACAGACGGTAGAGATGAGAGAGATGGGGCAGGATGGTATCTCGGATACTGAGCTATTTCCGCCAATGGAAGGCCACGGCAGGGCCGCTTCCATGCCCCGCCTCCCAGGCGACAACCAAGTGAGCAGCATCCCCACCTCTCCACTGTCTTTGTATTTTCTCCCCCATCATGTGCGTGCCTCATCTGCTTTTATTTAGCACCATTACATCTTACAAGGTCTGAGTACAAAAATGCTCCCAATGTTCCAGTCTGAAGAAATTCTGGGGACATGTTAAGACAGCTTTGGACAAATTGCTGCAAGTGCTGATTTCTGTTTTACCTTCATGTTGAATCAGAAACAATCAGTGTGTCTAACTGTCATGAAAATTCCTGTACATTAAGATATTTGTCTGGCTAAAACATGGATATGCTAAAACATAGAAATGTTTTACCAGATGCTGCCTACTTGCTAGATTTTTGCTCAGCAAGTCTAAAACAGACCTCTTAATGTCCATTTATACTTTCACCTGCATGATGCTATTTAATCATGATTTCCTTGGTTTTTTTTATCTCACACTATCATCCATTTTGTCATCATTCACGTATCAGTGAGTGCTCTGGTTGTCATCCACACAAAAAACCTTCTTGAACACGTACACGGTCCCCTAGCCCAACTTTTTATTTATTCCTTCTACGCCTAATTGTCAGGACCCCTCCCTAATAAATTACTTATTTTTTTAGTTGTGTTTCATTAAATTGTTTCTTCCCTACAGGCAATGGTTTGGAATAGAACAAGCATAATGCTGTGTGGTTAAACATGTGTGGGATTGTGTGCAGGTGTGTGTTGTGCATGTGTGAGCTTTGCAGGTTTTCTGTGATCTCACTGTTCTGTGTGTCCTCGGAGTCACGTCGGTCCTGCTGCTTTGCTGTGTGCTGCTATTTGTAATCAAAGTGTACATATTTGTGAAGGCAGATTCATACGTGTGGGTGTTTTGCCCACTGTCATCTCTGTGGTCGCCAATGTGTGTTTTTTTTTTTTTTGTTCCTTCAGGCACTTAAGAACCAAAGCTAAAGTGCATCTTTGATTGCTTATGCAGAAATATGGTGCTTTGCTAAATTTTGATTGCACTTTCTTTCATTTTCTTAACATTTTCTCACGTTAGAACCACAACTTAGCATTTTTGTTAGGATTTTTTATGTGAAAGATCAACACAGTTGTGAAGTGAAAAAAGCTCTCCATAATTAACATTATTACCTGAAAAGCGTGGGAATTGCATTTAGTTCAACTTCAATTAGGTATGTCTATGTGATGGAAAACCTGTCTGCTGTTCCCAGACAGGATCCTTGGGGTCAGACTGAGTTTAAGATTCTTGCAAAGAAGATTTTGCCAACACTTTAGCTTCTAGGTCTGTAAAGCTGGTAAATATTTGCAGTCGAAGATGATTCTACGAGGTGTTTACTCACAGAAGCCGATTAAGTCCATATATCTGGACACGACATGACGCAAGATTTCATGTCCAGAAATCTAGCCTCAAACTATGTGAATGGTTTACTACATTGAGAAAACAATATAAATGGATTCAATCCCAAAGGAATAATGTGCATGATTTTATTTACATTTTATTAAAGAGTGGCACATTAGCTCCCAGTCTTGAGGTTGGCAGGCCTCCTTGCCATCACCTTAATTCTTTGCTCAGTTTGCACTCAGGAAACTGGATGGGTGATTTCAAAACATTAAGTACAAGATTTTCACAATCATCACAGATTTTGAAAATATTACAAGTTCACCCTAACAGACTGGTTTTTGTTTCCTCGACTGAAAACAAAACCTCGACTGGGAAAACTTAACAAGTTTTCCCACTGAGGAATCACTCACTGCAGGATTTTGAAAAAGAACTAAAGCCAAATGAATGTATCAAGTTCTCATGGAAATTCTCGTGAGGGTGACTCTTTCAAGAAAGAGACATGCTGGAAGGTGGTGGTAATAAAAGATATATTCAGACTTCAGACAGACTATTTTGTTTTTGTCTTGGTTATCTGATATCTATATTTTTGGAGGTAAAATTGGGCCATAAATCATATAGCTTGTCCTTGGCTTAAATTAAAATGTATGGCACTTAATGGAAATTACACTTCAGATCCTTTTCCGTCCACTTCACAATTTGGTGGCCACTTTGTGTTGGTCTGTCACATAATATTCTAATAAAACATTGCCACGTTTGTGATTATTAGTGGAAAAAGTTGTGACAATATTTTTGCAAAGTACTCTATATTTGCTTAACATAATAAATTGAGATTAGGCTTTCTAACAAACTTAAAGGAAGTTAGGCAAACAAATTCTATTTAGCTAATCAAATCTGCACCTTAGTGACAATTTGAGTGTCGCTGTGGTACTGTTGTGGTGGAAACCACTCCCAGTGTTTGTATTAAGTGTTTCTTTCACCGTCTCTGCTGCTTTGGAGTCTAATCTTTCCCTCCTTCTCTTTCTGTCTCTGTCTCTTTTCTTCATTGTGGCACTCCATCTTTGTCTGTGCTGAATCTTTCCCACTAACATCCTTTTGCTTTTACTTGTTTTTTTTTTGTTTGTTTGTTTTTCTGTGTATCCTGTCTCGTGTTTCCAACTGTCCTTCTTTCCTTTAATTGTCTCCTTGCCCTTCTCTTGGTTTTATGGGTTTGCTCCGTGTGTGACCATACCTCTGGTGTATTTGTGGCTCTGTGTGTGTGTGCGTGTTTTCTTTGTGCGCATCCAGCAGCGGAGGAAAGGGAAGCACCGTGGCAGTAACCTCAGTGTATGTACCCTGTCTTTTGTTGTTTGTTCCTCTCAATCATTCTCAGCCTCTTTGTTGATTTTTTTTCCTCCCCCCTCATATGTGATGTCTTCATATTGTGTCTATCATGCATTATCACAGGGGAAGGTTATCTGAAAAGGAGTTATAAAAGCATGAAATTTTACATCAGCCCAGTTTCCAAACTGGTAGAATTAGGTTCAGACTTTGCAGTTTGAAGTTTGGAATTGGGCAGAAGTTTGCCTGACCCCTCTCCTCAGCTACTTTTCAAACTACTTTCTCTGGCTCTTATGACTCTGTCTCTCTTTGCTCAGCTGCTGCCACTGCTTTGTTGCTGTGTGTTCTCAAGCCTGTCTGCTTAACTGTAACGATGTTGACGGTTCCCCCGTTTGTACCCGAGTCTGCACTCAGCATTGCTCAACCTGCATGCAAGAAACCTGAGGGAAAAAAATGTCTTAAAAAAATGTGTATGCATGTTTGCTTGAGAGAGATGGAGTATGAAATTTAAGCACAATTAGGGCAAAGGAATTCTAACGTATTTTGCTGTCTAGAACTCAAATTTAGGTCAGCTTTGCTGCCAAAAAGATTTAGTTCCAAGGTAAGATGATCATAGTTTTGCACCAAATGCGCTGCTCCTTCCTCAAACAAAAACTTCCATCAGATGAATTGAAACAACTCTAGTGTATGCATGACTTTGGGAAAGCACATGTGACATAGAAGCAAAAAATTAATTTGCCACCTGGAATGTGCCATGCTCAGGGCAATTCTGAGTGAAGATGGGGAAGTATCGCAAGTTGTAATGATTCTTCAATTAGTTTTTTGGGGTTTTTTTTAAAGCAAGTCAAAGAAGCATGAAAGGCATGGCTTTTTGCCAAATTTCTTGTATAATTCTTGTGTTATTTGTTGCTTGTTTTTATTAAATAGGGGACTGCAATTTATAGTAAGTAACCATTTATTTCCACCCAATGCCCCTTCCTCAGACTTTTCTGAATCTGCAGAAAAGTCAAAATTCCTAATTGATCTGAGTAAAAAACAGATACTGGTTTTTACCAGTATCTGTCGCACACTTTAGCCATAAATGTATATTTGTGAGAAAATAGCTTCAGTGCCTGACACAGACAGTTTGTTGGGTTTTTTTAATCTGGAATATCTCCCTGTAAAATGAACCAGAAACCTGATGATTTCCGTGACATTATTTTTAAAGAAAATACTTTCTCACCAATGCAGTGAAGATGATAGAAATGTTGTAGTGCTGCTAGCAAAAACATTGTATTATTAATAGATGGTCACAATTGTATCAGGTTTAAATCTTTTCAGTATTTAATATGACCTTAGGTATTTGTCTAGAAAGCAGGAATCAGAACGTATTTGTCTAGAAAGCAGGAATCAGAACGTCAAACCTCCCCAATAGGCTGCTTTGCAGATCCCTGCCCTATAAATTTCATTTGCCATAAAGTTGATTTTGAAAGAGCAAGCTTGTAGCCTTAGTAATTGCAATAGTCTTTAGGTTTAGTTGCGTTTTCAAAAAATTCTAAGGGGAAACTTGCATAAAAACTTAGCATACAAACATTTTGGCCCAAAAACGCCATCTTGACAGCTATAAGAAACTTTCTCTTCATCTCTTGGTGGGCTCTCTTTCTTTCTTAGACCATCAGTGACAACAGTCCAATGAAGCGGTCCGCCTCGTCTCTGGGCCACAGCAGGTCTGGGCGAGGACACAGAGACAAAGGAGATGATTACCACATGGAGTCTTCAATACCCGAGGAGGGGAGAGCTACTAGACACGGACACCGGCGAAAGGATCGCAGTCATCGAGCGTCTGAGCGGTCCCTCTTTCGCTACAGTGAAATTGACACAGGTCAGAGAAAATAAAACAAGTACATTTACATCTGTTGCTTTTAGGTGATACAAAGATTTGATTTGTAAACTAAATCATGTGATGATAAATCCAATACGTTGCCCGGGCACAGACCTGAGCACGACCACACAGTCTGGTGACCTCACATCGAAAGAGAAGGACCGAGACCGGGGTCGATCCAAAGACCGTAAGCACCACCACCATCATCACCACCACCACGGCTCCGTGGACAAGGAACGCTACGTGCCAGAACGCGGTGGCGAATATGGACATAGACACTCCCGGGACAGGGAGCATGACCGGGAGAGGGACAGAGACCGGGAACGACGCTGGTCGCGATCTCCCAGCGAGGGCCGTGACAACGTTCCGCACAGACAGGTGGGCTCCAGGGTCATTTAGTTCCTGCATGTAAAAACCACTGATTTGATATTTTTGTCCTATAAATGTCAATGTTTCTAATTTGATGGCAGCTACTGTATATATTATCAAATGATATAAAGACCCAAGACACATTGATGTCCTGTGAATAATATCCTTTCCAGAAGGACACTACCTATGTGATGAAAGATTGACTGAGACAAAAAAATGTTTGTCAGTTATGCTGCTATTAAATCAGAGGCCATTTCGTCTTGAAAATGTCAAAAAATAAATAAATTGAAAATGTTTTTATGTAATACTACATTCACGTAAAATGATGCATTATTGTGACAATAATAATGCAAAATATATTATTGAGGCATGTATGTTTGATGAAGTCAATATGTGTCCAACAATCTAGCAAATATTCATTAAAATTAGAGACGCATCGATCCCATCTGTCTGCAAGCTGAATGAAAGCTGTGCAGAGCAGAGTCCTTAAATTGTTGTCCTACTGAAACACACAAGAAACCATTTTAGATTAAATATGGTGCCTATCAAGCTTAAAATGATTGGATTCTCAACTAATTTCTCAGTGCTTCTCTAATAACAATTTATATTTGCTGTGACCAGCTGCCTGATATTCCTATCTAGTGTTTTATCACATCCCACCACTAAATGTTGCTTTCCTTGAAAAATGGCCTCAAAGGTCTTTAAACACCGGAAAAATACAACAAAGTTAATTCTAGTGAACTAAAGATGTTTTCTGTTTTTATTCTCAATAGTTACACTCTGCTGTGTTTGCTGGTCTGCAAATCAACCCTTTAACTTTTTTTTCTTCTGTCGTCTTTTGTTTTCTTTCCTCTGCATGATATCTTGCTTCTCTTTGTATGGTGCTGTTTGGAATCTCATCTCTTATATTCACATCTTCTACTCCTGTTTATCCACTGCTCTGCTGCTCGTTGATGCCTTTATTATTATTATTTTCTTCCACAAACATCATGATCGGGGCTTTTCTTCTTGTTGTTGCTCTTAAATCTTGTTCTTGTCCTCCCTTGCTTCTCTATTTGGCTTCCTCTGTCTTTCTTGCATTCCTCTTACTCCTTCTCTGTTTGTTTTATCCTCTGTCTTCATCATCTTCTGCTTTGTTCTACATGTTGTGTCTTTGAATTTGTGGTTCGTTCTTTTTATTTGCTTTATTTCACTTTTTGTGTAGGGCAGTAGTTCAGTCAGCGGAAGTCCAGTTCCATCGACCTCGGGAACCAGTACACCACGAAGAGGTCGCCGACAGTTGCCTCAGACCCCTGCCACACCTCGACCCCATGTCACGTACTCCCCTGTAGTCCGTAAGTCCATGCCCACTCCTCCTGTGGGACCGCAGGGCAGACCCCCAGCCCCAGGTCCCCGCCACTTTTCTCCAGAGCCTCTTCAAGGGCAGGGTCCACCCCCAGCTGGAGTCCCAATGGCCCATCATGGCACACCCCGCCAGAGTCATCATCCCCCACTACGCTGGGGTGACTCAGGTGGAGGAGGCGGTTCCATGGAAGGGGATAGCTGCTTCTACAATCAGGAGTACCAAGACTATGATCCACAGCATGAACCGCCTGCCTATGAGCCAAGTGCCATGCAGGGTGGAAACCCTCACCCCCACGCCCTGGCTAACCACCCTCTGCCTCCTCCCACACAACCGCAGTCTCACAACCCCCAAGCCCTTCCTCCTTCACAACCTCATCCGGTGAACAACCCCCACCCGCAGCCCTCTCGCACCTCACCCAGGACTATCAGCCATGCGATTCCTCCCACCACTGCCCTGACTGGGCCTGTGCAGAACCAGGTTCAGCCTGCTGCCCAGCGCCGCCTACCAAATGGCTACCGATCGTCATCCCCTTCCACACACCTCCATGGACCTCCACACACTGGGCCTCACAAGGTTCCTCCTCCGGCTGGGCATCCGAGGGGTCCCCGCAAGGGACTGCACGAACCCTATGGTGAGAGGGAGGAAGACGATTGGTGCTAGCCCCCGGGGACGGGGGAGGGATGTATAATCAATAGACTGGGGAAAAAAGAGAGCTCCTAGCCAGAGCAGTGACTGCCAAGGGAAACCACAACCTTTCTTTTTCATCTGGTTATTAGTTTTCGTCACCCCAACTTCTCGGGGTGCCACGTGGACGCTTCACGGGATGAAAGATTTCTATCAGCGTAAAAGGTTGAGTCTGGAGAAACAAGAAGCAACAACTTTTGTGTTCTGCTTGCGTTGTTGATCATCTCTTGATGCCAAAAGAGACCAAGCTCAGATTTAAGTTTTTTTAAGGTGGGAGGAGAAATGATAGACACTACTCTTTGTGTCTTAATTTATGCCTCTGGCAATGAGCTATAGCCACTTACAAGATGTCAAGAGTTGCGACTCGATAAAAGACACTTTAAAGTCAGAGCAAAAGGAACAACCTTTTATTTTCCTTTTATAACGTTTTCTCGAGGCTAACTATTGAGCTAGCCGTAAAAGTAGTCTAATCCAACCCTCCCAGCCACCAATGAAATATTGATGAGTTTTATCATCTGTGTTTTTAAATCTGACAACGAGCCCTCTGCCTGTAAATGGTAAGAAGGCTAAGTGGGTGGGAGAGTTGGGAAGTGTTGCAGGGGTGGTAAAACGTCTCTGTCAAAAAAGCCAGAGGACTGAATGGGTGTGTTGGCAAAATTTAACACACTCCTCTCAGAGACAGAAAACAAACAAAAAAACTTTAGCCAACCTCATCCCATGACCAAGAAAAAAAAAAAAAACGAGGAAGGATTTCACCAACAAAAAATAACTGTTTTCTGCAGTATTTCTTGTTCTACTCCTGCGGCTGCTTCTTATTCTTCCTCCTCCTCCTCCTCCTCTTCTTCTTCAGAACATCGAAGCTTGAATCTTCTGTTGCACACCACACAGCTTCGTTTTTTTTAAGACTTGCGGAGTTGTAACACTTTATGGAATCCTGCATGAATGCTACAAAAGAATACTAATGATACAAACAACGAGAATCTACTGTCTGTTTGGGAGGAGGGGGTCTCTCCTCCTTTCCGCTGTGGTCTGTAGGGTTTCTCTCTTTTTTACTGAAAAATACTTTCTGTTTCTCTCTTTGTGCTCTGAATGACATTCCTCTTGCCGTACCTTCATTTTCAGTAAAAATCAAACGACAGAGGGCTACAAGGGAAATCAGATAGTTATTGTATGTTTATCGCGGGTGGGTGTGGTTGGGGGGTGGGGGGCGTTTTGCTTGCTCGTCTACTGTCCGTTCTGTGCCAAATGCCTGCCACTGATACAGCTGGAATTGCACATATTTTTAGTGAAAGTGACTTTTTTGTAACAAACGTCATCATGCTATTATGATATATTGGGTAGCAGGGTAAACTTAACATGGACTGATTGTTTTATTTTTTATTTTTTTTTCGGGTTATTTGTAACGTGGGTTCAGTGATGGTGAAATAAGTCAGACAAATCAGTAACTCAAATCTTAAAGTCTTCCAGGGTTTGGGATTCAAACAGAGGGATCAGAGAGGAAGAGACCAATAGAAAGGCACAGAAAGGAGAGAAACTCTTCATCTTTGTTTTTCTTCGTCTCCGAGGGAAATGTTGGATAAACTGCTAATGTAATTGCTTGTATTTGATTAGTGATTGTGAGAATGAGATGGATGTTCTGCGTTTATTATTATTATTTTTTCATTTTTTTTGGAGCTCAGGTAATCCTTTTTCCAACCCTGTGATGAACCTCTAACACTCAGACATGCTGTGGGAGAAGGATTTTTGCTTGTCCCCTCTTTAGAGATGGCTCTGGTAACAGGCACAGAAACTCACAGAGCTCCGGAGGTAATCAATCGGATAATATCTGCACTGGGAACATGTCAAATAATCTGACATATACCTTTGAAAGAGGTGGACTTGATTTAAAACAAGGCAGAAGGATGTGTAAATTGTTCAATGTTTAGCACCACTAAACATTTTACTAAAAAAAAACAAGATTGGGGAAAAAATTAACTCTATGTCGAGACATGCTTCTGAAGATAAGAGCATGTAATGTTTTTATTTTAAAGGGGATTTTTACAGATTTTCAACATTACTGTTTTATTCATTCATTTATTTGTGTATTTTATGTACTGAAAAGACAAAAATAACAGGTATCTCAAAAGGTTCTCAAAAAGCTACTAACATCGTTGTATGCAACCTTTAGATGCAGAATCTGAAGGTTGTTTCATTTAGAAACTGTTCATCCATTCTGAACAGGAGAGCTAAAGTGCAGTTTTAGAACAAGGAAGGTAATATAGTTTTGTAATTCCCACAAACCACATGATCTCTGTCCCCTTTATCCTTCAGCAAGCTTAAACATTTTCAAATGGCAAACCGCTCCAAGATGTGCACAAAATGAATGCAAGCTTTCAGTTTTGTGTCTAACAAAGATTCACAACTACACAGCAGACGTATCAAGACTTGTATCAATTTATTATGGTAGAATTTAAAGCATTACTGCCAGTATTTTTGGACTTACCATATTTATTATTATATTTTGTTATGTGTTAATTATCCATTAATTCTGTCTTACCAGTCAACTGTCTGCAGCAGTGATAATAACAACTCTTGAGATTAATATAAAAACCCAACAAAATGCTAATTATGGCTCACTCACATCTCTTATGATTAGTAATATATTATATTTACGTTGAATATAAAAATACATCAGCTTTGCCTTACAATGTACAAAGACAACCTAGTCTTTTGGAAAATCCATAAAAAATATATAAATGTAAATGATTATGAGGTTGTGTTGTTTTAAAAGGTATGCAGTTATGAAATATTAAAATGTGTGATGCCTATAAAGCATTCAAACAACAAAATTTATCAATAACACGCCCTTTACAAATGTATGTTTCCAAAAAGAGTTGCTTTGTTAAGGTCCACAATAACTGTCCAGATTTTTCCACTTGAAAACCAGTTTCTCAATGCATAGCTTGAAAGAGGGGCGGGGCGGTTGTAGAAAATAATAAGTTTCTGTCTTACATGTTTGAAGTCTCAATAGAACCATGTTTTGACTCTGCCAGTTTCTGTGTCTGCAGCCAGGTGTTGTTAGCTCTCTCAGGCAGGTGATAAATCCAAAATGTTTGACACCACTGGCGACCTCCAGGGGGTGCAATATGACAGTAAAACTCAATTCCGTTTGAGTGAGCGTTGTGCTTGTAGCATTTTCTCTCACCTCCAGACCACCTCATCAGTGTTCACCTTGTCAGCAGGTGAGCGAACTCCACTGTAGCACAGTTGAGACGGGTTGGAGAAATGACGTTTTGGGCTTTTGCTGGTATTCTGGAAATCACCTGGGTTTCTGAGTGTTTTGCTCCTGTGCAGCTTCCGATTCCTCGTCGGTGTGTTTCTCTGTGTGCCTCAAAACAACCCCGGTCACCAACGCACACCACTGTCTGCCCCAGAGCACTGCTGTTTTTCCGTTTATTGTGTTTAAGTTGACCAGCGTTTTGAACCTGGAGGCCTATCACACGTTGACCAGAGAATGCATCAAAAACAAAAACAGAAATGAAAAATAAAAACTGCCTATTAGTGTCTTTCCAGCCTTAGTGGGATGTCACAAACAAGTACTTTTCACATCACTACACTGAAGGAAAAAAAAGTAAAATAAAACATCAGAAAGCAACTAGGTATGTAGCTCCTGGTTGTGGGGTGTGGAAGTGAGCTTTTTGCTCGTATGTATGTACACTGGTGAATGTGTTTGGGATCACTGAAGTTTTATTTCTTGTGCTTGCTTTTGTTTTCTATGCTTTGTCAGCAGAAATCCTTTTTCAAGTTCTGAACATGTCTGTCATATCATTGTGACAGTTCGCGATTGTCCGTGTTTATGAGCGCGTGTGCTGTCAGTCAAACCTCTGAATGAGACGTTCAAAACCTGAGCATTCACTTTTCCATCTTTGTGTATATGCTGCAGTAAAATCCACTAACACGCTGATTAACCACACGAGTTCTTCAAAAAGCAATGTAAAGTCGCAATGGGGAGGAGAAAAGTATTTTTTGTTTGTTTGATTGATTTTTTTTTTAAGTATAAAAGATTATCAAAAAAGTTAAAAAAAAATCTAGTTCCAGAAATGCATGTGCTATGTGCATGCCACACCGTGGGTTAAAAGTCATCTTCAGGACAGAAAAGAAAAAGCACATTAATTAATTCAGAGAAATAAGGGGAAAAAAGATATATAAATAGATAGATGTTTTTAAAAAATCAAAAAAAGCAATGTTTCTTTTTTTCTTCTATTTTTGAAAACAAAAAAGACAAAAAGTAAAAAAAAAAAGAAAGAAAAAATGAAAACACTGAAGAGACTTTGGTAAGACTCGAAGTCTTGTTTCTTTTCTTCATTTATGGGGTTGAGACACAACACATCCAAGTTCAGGACACCGCAAAAAAAAAAAAAAAAAAAAAATTTAATTAAAAAGAGAGAATAAATAACACAGTTCCGAAGATGGTGTATTCTCTTATCTACTCATGTGAGGATCAAGGGGTGCAGCTAGCCAAATCTGTTGATGTGCTTGTTCTCACTGGCTGTTGGACCTTTGATCCTTCACTAACGTACCCCCCTCCCTCTCTAACTCTTATCTCTCTCACTCTCGGCCAGTCTCACCGCTATTTCTACCAGTGCATTTTGTAATTCCAAACAGATCTCTTCCTAAAGAATAAAATCCAGAGAGAATGCACATGCCTTTGCCTTTTTTTTCCCCCCCTATTGTCTTATTTTGCAAAGTGTTTTTATGCTTTGATGTTTGGCCAGTCCATGGCTAAGCATGCATTTATTCACAGGAATAAATGCATGCTTAGTTCTTCACTGAAGTTACCAAAATGATTTTGACAGTGACGGCTACTATCATGCTGTTACATTTAAGATGAACACTAGTCTATTTTTATGTAGCTTGACAAGTCAGAATGTCAGCAATATTCCAGCTATAGAATATTTCACTTCAGATGTTCCCACTTCTGTCACATATATATCTCTGCAAAGCTATGCAAGGTATATTATTTAAACTCTTTTTGAAAAGTATTATCTGGGTAAATTTTTCTTTTTTATTATTTGAGAACTTATTGAAATTGTTCAATTGTGATATGGCTATTCCAGAAGTACTGATATTTTAAAAGGGAACTATTGGGTATGAATAAGCAGCCATGTCAAAAACGAGATTAGAAAATGCATATCAGTGTTGCAGACAAGCACTGAACGTACCCATAAATGTATTGTAGTTGCTTTTCTAATGTCCGCATCTGAAAAGAAACAGGCTAAATGGTCTGAGTGGGTGGGAACCATTTGTCACTCAGTGAGGAAATCAATGCATCAGCCGAGGCATACGCCATATGCCCTGCTTTATTACTTTAACAAGTATTCAATTCAATAAATTAATTGAATGTGATACATTGCAGACTGTGCATCATCCCGGAGATTGATAACAGCAGTTGTTGTATATTTTTGGATATGGTCACCTAACTAAAATAATGGCCAAAGTCATTTTCTGAAAAATAAAAAATAAAAAAAAACACCTCTCCCTTTTTATTGCAAAAGATGATTTAGACACAAAATGACTTGAGCCATTATTTTATAGGAAGGTGACTATATGTTGTGAGTGGCTAATGATGAATTCAGATCAGCTTTGAGCTCATCCTGCTTTCCCCACATTGCCTACTGGCCTTAGTTATGGACAGTGCACAGGCTTTGATATTTTCAACATATGCAAATATAAAGAACTCTCAGGTCTTTATAAACAAAATAAATGAGAACTAGGTCACATTTCCCATGGCTGATATTCACAATGTATTGATATTCAGCAATTCCAGTGTGTATGACGCTTGCACTTTCACAGCCATGACCAGATCCCCGCACACAGACGGCACTCCGGTTTCAGCCGGAAGAATAAGCTCTCAGTTGAGGCCTCCCGCAGCCACACACCCCCTACTGAACCCTCCACCCCCTTTTTTTGGTCTATTACCCCTTCCCCCAAAACAAACACAGCTTCTGGTGAATCCCTGTACAAGTTACATTAAACTTTTAATTATTTCTGTCATTACTGCATATATTTTCTTGATTAAACACTTTTTTTTTTTGCATTTTATTAACAATGCAACAATTGAATGCTCTTAAGGTGAAAAAATGTGTACTCCAACTCACTATCATGTAGTAATACTTGAGGAGCAACAAACCCTCCATTGTTTTCAGTGTTTGGCCAGTCAATGGCTTTACAATCCCCCCACCCCCCTTCTTTAGGACCAAAGTCTCCTGAATGCTCCCTCGTTTTATTGTGCTAATCAGCATGGGGGGATGTGAAACTGTGGGGGAAGGAAAATAACTTCCAAGCACCCAAACAAGGTTCCAAAGGCACACTACTTTCACACAGAGTTTTCCCAAATGCAAATCCCTTTTGTGGATCTCCCTGAGTTACGTAAATCCAAAGGAGAAAGAACAACAACTCCAGACTGTTTTCAAGTACAAAATGTTTTTAATAAATACTGAGGTAGTTGCACTCAATGAGAACTTTACACTTGATCACATCTTCTATGTTAAGTCAGGATGTATGCAATAACAAGTTCGTATTAAGTTTGCTATGTGAAGCAGCAACAGAGTTCACGTTTATGTGAAATAAGTTGATGGAAGGCAGAAATGGTCCCAGTCCAAGATAAGTTCCGCCTGTGTTCAGACGAAGTTATGAGGCATGGAGTCACGTGAACTGCAGCGATCCAACTGGTACGAGCCCAAGCTGTCCCCTCAGGGCCTCCGCTGTGCCTCGCGTGTAACCCAGCCCAGACACTGGAACAGGCGCACCGCAGTGGGGCGTTCATGGACCCCACGGGGGCCGAGTAGAAAACTTTCAGAAGTCCTCTCTCAGGGTGTTCAACACGCTGCTATAACAGTCTGGAGGGGGATGGGGCTCGGGGAAGGTCCCAGCTCACTACAACAGTTTGCGTAATCCACCAAAACTGAGCTGACAATGAGCTGTTGAGCAGTCCCATACTCCAGCTTCGCCTTCTTACACGGCAGGAAGTCCGGCTCGGCGGTAGCTTTGCCCCGTCTTTTCCGCGTGTGGTGCGGCGGCCCGCTCAGACAACTACTATCCTGGCTTTGCGTGTCGCCCTGCGCGTCGGCGGCCAGGTGAGGAAGAGAGGCGGGACCCTGGAGCTCTGGAGTGCCGCTCGCCTCTGTGGTCATCTTAACCTCGGAGGGCTGCTGTTCCTCGCGCTCTTCCTCCGTACTTTGATTCGTCGTCTGCGCCGCATGGTAAATGTCTCGAGCGGATTTCATCACCAGAGTCAAGAGGAGGCTCCGGTGCAGCCGCAGACCCCCACGCTGCGTCCGGGAGCTGTACAGTTTGCCCAGAGCCACCACCATGATCCGCTTGGCCTCGGCGCTGACCTCCATCACGCAGCTTGTTTTGAAACTAGTCCGGGGAAGGAAAACAATCACTTCAATGACGCCCTTCGCTCCACTACAACTCCACTCGTAGACACAATACAGATTCCACGCGGGACAGATACTTATAACCTCGCTGACGTCACACACGCCAAGCGTCATCAGTCACAGGGCAAAGTCCCGCCCATCGGCCGTGGAGCAGCTGTGTGGGTCAACTGTGAACTATTTTTAATCAGCTTATGACTTTGGCTTGAAATCAAGTCCTAAGATTGTAAATAAAAGTCACTGATAAAATAACCCATAAATGGATGGCTATGAATTTCTTGCACAACAATAATAAAGCAATGTAATGTGGTATTTATAGGAAAGACATGTTGAAAGCAGGGGTGGAAATCAGCACCCGTCACTGGCCAAATGCGGGTAAAAGTATGAAGTGTAAATTGGAGCGAGTTGACAATTTGAACAGAAAAAAAAGCTGCATTCAGTTTGAACTACTGTCCAGGGGAGGACTGACCTTCTGGAGTCCAGATTGATGCATTTCCTGTCCATTTCTGATGGCCCTGCTGTCATAATTTAACAAAAAATAAACTATATTAAATGTAATTTTTATCAACCACAACACCCCATTGGTTGATTTTATTGAAGGACATTGGGCTTTGTAATTCAAAGCCGAAATTATATTTACAAAATTACAATTATTAAAATCAAGACCACAATTATGAATGTCTTGAAAAGTGATATAAGTGTAAGATTTACACATTACTAAAAAAATATGACTTTCTGTTGCATGAATATGAGACTAAGTCAGAATTTTGATTTTAAAAGTCATAAATATGGGTGTAGAATCACAATTGAGACCAACACAGTCACAACTAAGAGTAAAATACCAGATTTTGCCTTTCAAATCTATAAATATGGTTAGTTTGAATATAATAAAAAAAATGTTCACATTCAATCTTACAATTGAGACTGTAAAAGACAAAGTTTTGACACAGAAAGCAACAATTATAACTTGGAAAACTAATGGATAATAGTTATAGAATACAGATATAATTGTGATGTGACTATCAGGAAAATAAATAGGTTATTGAAACAGAAAATATTACTTTGAAAGTCAAAATTATAACAATTTTTCTCATAATTATTTAGATGAAAGCTTTCTTTTAAGTGCTGAAAATAGCCTCAGCCCAGTCAAGTGGAAAACATTAACAATTAATTTCCTTCTGACAGATTTTCTTCTTTTCTGGAAATTTCAGAATATTCTGAAATTTTTAACATCCTTTTGCGTTAGCCTTTTGAAGAGCGGGATTTTCATTTGTCTACAAACATTTATTTATTTTTATTTTTTTATGTCTGCACATACACGTTTTACCGTGCAAGAGTGGGAAATAGTCAAAGCAGTGGAAGGAATTCCTGTGTATTATTAGCCACCTTCACTTCAAGAATGAATGCCATTCCACTCCTGCAGCTATCTGGAGCAGACAAGAAGAGAAGCTGTATTATTAGTTCAAGCTTCCTTCTGGTCTCACCCATCCCCCAGTGTGCTGCTTCCTTTTGCAGGAAACACAAAAAGGAAGGGAGGGGGGGGGGTTGGAGTTAACAGACATATGCCCATATTAGGTACATCCTGCTCTTCTGGGGCCTTGCTGAGGAAAACCCATGACGTGTGTGTGGGAGCCCTTGTTTCCTGAAGCCATTTAAAGTAACAGTAGCACAGATTGCGTCAGCATGCTACTTCCCTGAGACCATATACGGGCAAAAGAATGTTTCCCCCCAATTTTGCATGAAGTTCAGCTACTTCACGTTCGATTTGGAGAAATGCCTTGAATGTGCTCGAACTATGTGCGTATTGCTAATACGAAATTTGGATGCAGTACATTCTTGTGGAAGGTTGTTTTTCATCCAGACTGCTCTTTGTATTTTCAAGGAATACCTGATATGTGTTTGACAACCTTTCTATTGAGAAAAAATGGTTCATGCGTGCATATTTAAACAACAAACAAACGGGTGGTCTTTCAAGAAGATGCATAATTTAATGTGCAACTAGCTGCTTATCTTATGTTTTGTCAAAAATTATTTTTTATTTATTTATTTTTTTTTGTAGCAGCTTCATTTTAACTATATTCCAAAAACTATTTAAGATAATATTCATGTGCATTAAACATAAAACATGTTATTAGTGGCTAAACTGCCCGTGATGAGCATATAAAGTAGGATGATCTATTTGAGAAAAATAATAATAATCATCATCATCTTTATGCTAAAACATTTTGTATGGGTCATTTTGCTGTAATCATGCTTAATATT